TGATTAATTAGCAAGCCAATCTATTGTGTTTCCTACATAACATGTTCGTAAAGTTTCATGTTCAAATTAAAAATCTCTCTTGATTTGTGAATCAACTTTCGCTGCCATGTGACTAAGTAATGGCACAGTAACAACATGTGTGTGGGGAATAATTATAAATGCTCATGATTGGAATGATCTCACCGAATCCTGGAGACTCCTGGATGTTCTCAGGCCATGTGCGGCCTGGTTGTCGCCCCTTCCTGTCCTTGCCAATATTTTTACTTTTGTCAAAGGGGGATCTACAAACAGCTTGAGGCCAAATCGATCCAATGGCCCTCCTTAACGAAAGGATTTGCACAAAAGCCGCTGCACTACACAGTTGAGATTACGAAATCATGGAAATTTATGTTCGTAATCGTCAGAGGACCTCATACGGAGGAACTAAGTTAATTCTCAATAATGAGTCATAAAGTCGAGACATATTTAGCCAAGTAGAATAGATGAGATCTACCGAGACTGCAAATATTTCATGAGAAGGATTTATGAGGAATTTTACAAATCAACCATTTAGTGTTTGTTCATTCTGGCCTATGTATGGTGCATATACCCCCAAAATAACTAAAGCACAAACTATTTTCAAAGTTGAATAGTTTACATATAGGCAGGATGTGAATTTATTCAACCCAAACAGACAACTTGAATGTGCTATCAAATTGTTAGGGGAGGTCTTAACAGTATTATAAGCCCACATGTTAGGTGAATTGGTGAACTACCCAATATTAACATTAAAAATACTTATCTGTGTGCTTGAATGATCCCTTACGAGATGGCTCCGATGTGTTGAGCACCTCCTCAAGAGAAAAGCATAATCAAGCGCCTCTTCGACGAGGAAACACAAGAGAGACTAGCAAACTGAAACTTTTAGCTGTGATGATTAAACTGAAACAGGCATTCCTGAAAATATATTCCTGCGCCTCTTGGGCATCCAACCAAGTATCGTCATTTAGTAAGAATTATACTATGTTTTGAGATTGCAAAACAAAATAATAACCATATGAAAGTGGTAAAAAATTACTCTTAAGAAAGAGGTGATTATTGCACATAGGCGAATACGTAGCAAACTTATCAAAAAGGGTCAGAAATCAAACACCAAGCCTTATGTGCGTTATGCATTAGCAGCAGATAATACAATATCTTGTATTGCTTTTAATAGTATATTTGAACATCGTTGTTATACTTTCTGAGGAAGTCTAACCCCAAGTATGCATGTCTAATAAAAGCAAAAGAGCAAAAGCTTAGAAAAAATAATAAAGTTTCCTAGAAAGGTTAGGCCACTTATCTGCTCGCTCAATCGAGTCGCGAAGACTGTGTCAGGTAGAAATTATCCTGGGTTCACGCCTGAATAATTTGCCCCCGTACTCTGTATGCTTCCACAGAATGGGTACTATGAAGTCGTTAATCGAGAAGGCTGGCCAGCGTGCCGAATTTTTGTGAAACTCATTGGCATCTTTATCTGAGAGATGGTGGACTCCTCAATGGGTCTAAGCAATAAGGGGCAGCAAAAGCTTGTTGTGCCTTGTCCCAAGGGGCAGCAAAAGCTTTGTCCCAAGCTTGTAACTGTGCTGCTAAACAATTCTTTGATATGCTCAAAAAGGTTAATTTCAAAAATTGTTAGAATCAATGAAATAAGAGCAGTAAATGACCACGCTCGAGAAATTATTCCGTTGATACTTATAATCGTAAGAGGATCTATGTGCCATGTGCAGATCTGAAATTACATTGATGAATGTACGCCAAAGCAATAAATAAAGAATGATGGAATACTATTTTTGAAATAGATTTTTCATACAAGCAAGTAATGCGTGGTAGATGAACCAAGTCATGTATCTAACTCATATAAGTTTGTAATTATCAAGAGCTTGTCCAGCTTCAAATGTGATGATATGTAGTGGCACTTAAGAATTAATATTTGGCACACTTATATTGTATTCAAGATAATATCTTGCTTGTATTTATCTTTGGCTAGGTATCTAAAAGCTCAGTTAATAGGAGTACACAAAACCTATTCTATCGAGAACGCAAAAAGCGATTGATTAGATGGCAAAAGCTACCCAACTGTAGTGCTAAGCCTGGCGTTATTATTCTAAAACCAAGACAAACCATAGTGCCAAATTATTTACATCATGTTATTAATCACATGCTCACCAAAACCTGGTTGTCCACCATGAAGTAAGACGGAAACGATTAAGCGAGCAGCCAATTTCAATCCTTCGTATTCTGGCTATCTACTAGAAGAAGTATACTGCCTTATGATTTAATCAAAACATAAACAGATACACTATTATGAAAGATGGAAGTCTGCCGCATGAGGAATTTACCATGGCTTATATACCCCAAAAATTAAAAAATAAAAGGTATTACCAAACTTGAGGTGCTTTCTTTAGGATTCCTTGATAAACATAAAAATTATTACCTCGGCATTGAAGGTTTAAAGGAAACCCGAGGAAGTATTACTTCAAACATGCATGTCAAAACATGTAATATGTATATTAATGTGAATCCAATGGATATTACGTTATGTGTGCCTTACTCCTCAAGATCTAGGGAGCAAATTGGTTTCCGAAGCCAACCGTGAGACAACTTCAAGCATGGAGGGTAGAATATGTAGGCAGTATTTTAATTTTAATATGATAAAATTAATACTAACATAGAACCTGAACTCCGTTTGGCTTGAGTTTATGCCGACTTACCCATGATCATTGCCCCTTCTCAACATGAAGCAATAAGTGATTGTGCTCGAGAGACTTTCAGACTTTAAGTATGATTTTAAAGCACTACTTCATGACTAAATTGTATAAGCCATAGTATATGCGCGCACATAAGGATCAAAGAGGTCACTTTTCGTAAGAGACGACAGTGACTGCCTTATAATATTGATTTGAATATTAATAAGAAATCAAGTAAGGCAAAACTTGTGACTAAATCATAATGATTAAGAACCTGAATCTTGCTGTATGAAGCCAGATATTTCGGCCACCTTTGTCCACCCAAAGTTGAAAAGAGGCATCTAAACCGTTGACGTCTTCAATTCAAGAAATTTGGCGAAGAAACCCTAGCGGGTCTCACCAGGCGTGCCACTTGACGAAGGATGGATTCGTACCAACTTCTCCAGTGGATTGAATCCGGCGGCCAAACCTGCAAGACAGAGTCTCGGGGTCTCCCGAGGGTAGACTCTCCGATGCTTAAGTTAGTAAAAGTAATTGTAATAGGGGTGTAATGCATAAAGCGTACCTTTGATAATAGGGATTGATCCCTATTTATAGAGTTAGATTATGGAACCTTTTCTTGGTAGGAAAGTAGTTGACAACTGCCCTAAAAACTTACAGGGGCCGGTTGGACCGCTCACCGAACTTGGACCGGCCTAGTAACGAGCCGTACTATTTGGACTCGTCAGTGGTCTATCATAAGACCTCTCTCAAAAGAGGCACACTATCATTCGAATGTTCAAGCTTTTATAGATTAAATGCTTCCGTACTATAAGTCGCAATCAATTTGTCTTTAGAGTCAAATTTCGTTTATGATAATTGTTAGTTTGGTTCGTGATTGCCATCATTATTTATGTTGATTTATGTATTAATTCTTATGATTCGATAATTAGGAAGTGAACCATTTTTCCTATTTGTCTCTGATTTCTATCATCACAAATATCTAACACTTTGCGTGATGCATTAATACTTGTTGATTACAACTTATATATAGGAACTTCTAACATCTAACTTCATCGCGCATATATAATCTTCTCTAGAGAGCTAGGCATAGGCATTGTCACATAGATCCCTCTTAGAAAAGAATTTTTCTTATATGGTCCTAAGTTACTTGAAAAACTGGAGGAAGGTGATGCCCGAAAGGTGATGTGAGTTTGAGTTTTTTCGAAGAAATTATTTATACTAATTAATTAGATGTAATAGATAATGAGTTGCTTCATAACTTTGGCATAAACTTTAGTCTTAATTTACTACTCAAACCATCAAACATATAGGATCAACTTCAACAAAAAAAAAAAAGGAAAAAAATCACTCTTGGGATCTTATATTCTTATGTGTTATAAAGAGATACTATGAAGACATTTCTTAAATAAGACTGAGCACCTTTATGATTAAGGCTCACCAGAAGTTTGAATTAGGATGCTAAGAAAGGTAAACCGTATGATATGTTAGTACAATGAAATTGCATTGTACCTCATTCAAGCAATTTTGTAGAAGCGAAGCCTCCATATATAGGATTAAGAGTAACTATTCATAAGGTTTTATTCCCAAGTGTTGCGTACTCAAGCTAGCGAGATTGTTATGAAGTGATACTTAACAAGAGATGTAATATTTAATAAGCTACACTAAATTTGATCATGACAAAGCTACTACACTATATTCTATAACTCATCGACTCGAAAAGTGGTACTCTAGTCTTACTCTTTGATTCAAGTGCATAGGACTATGAAGATGTTAGAAAATTACACATCTTTGGTCTTATACTGGAAGGATAACTTCTTTCTGCAATCGATATCAGTGAAATTAGGTTTGAGATCAAAGCAGTTCCTATAATGTCCAAGTTCTGTGAGTTTGCATTTGTGATTCACATATTTAGAGTGTACTTTCAACAACATATGCATTTTACCTTTCATTAGAGAGGCATGTCAAGTTCATTCACGAAGTCTTATTAGTTTTATACGCACTTATGCTACTACCATGAGATGGAGTATGTTTTGAGAGAATGATTAATAAGATACCTTCATATAATGATTGTATCACGTAAAAAGATGTAATTACATTTATATCCGCCAAAGTCATGCGAAATTAATGAATTCTTTTATAAATTCGGTATTTTAAAGTGTAAATACTTTTTATTAATAAATGTAAGTTTCAATTTCGATATTTTTTTATCATCCATCAAATTCATCCTCCTGTGGAAAATATCTATATGGATTGGCGTTTGTGCACATTTTGTCAAATAATTGAAAACGTGACAAGATTATAGGCTTTTTTGGTTAGATATCCACAAATGAAGGGTCCTCCTAATTCATGACCCCTGAAAAACCCAAATCAAAAAAATCTGGAGAAAAAAAAAGAACAATTAACAAAACTCCAAATTTAGAACCAAAATTTACATTCTTCACGTTATCACTCTTTTCCACTCTGCAACCTTCTCCACTACGTCAGTCATCAGTGCTTTCATGGGGATCTGCGTTTGTGGTTCCCTTCATTTCTCACTGAGATCAAGTCCAATGAACCCAATTCAACTCGTACCTGCATTATTGTTTTGAAGGGGGACTGAAGAAAAAACTTCCCTCAATAGAAGAATACTTGATAGTTTATCTGATTCCTTCCTTCCATTCTGGTTGCTGTTATTGTCGCATTTCTGAAATTTGAGATGGATTCTCTGCGTAGTTTATGCTGTAATTCGGAGTCTTTTATAAGTTGTTCTAGTACAAGGCGATTCAGAGTTCATCAGAAGCGAAGGGAAGTGCAGAGACCGAGAAGCTTGCAATTCTTGGAGGGGGCGAGGCCCATTTCGATGATTTCTGCCGGTGATAGGAGCTTGGGTAATAAAGGGTTTTCGAGAATTCAATGCGGAGTTTCTGCAGTTGAAACATCCAGGTGCAATTTATTTTCAAGCTTTCTGTTTGAATCATTTATTTTGTTGAACATTGGTTTTTCTATTTGAAACTCGGAGTTAAGATAGAAAAGGGAATGAAGTTTACAACAGAATGTGCTTGTACATGAATTTTTGGAAAAGAAAAAGATTGACGAAATGTCACCCAGGTTAGGATGAATTGTGGAATGTGATTGGAAGTTACTACCCACAATCTTAGCATTGTGCTTGATTCGGAAGTATAATTATTCCACGTTTTAGCAATTTGGAAATTAAGCATTGCTATGGGGCCTTCAATGTCGGAGAATTTGATGAAGAGATTCAATTTCTCTTATTTAGTGTCTGTATGTGATAGCACTGAGATCTCAACTGCAGTGATAGCACTGAGATCTCAACTGCAGCTACCTACCTGCGTTTCCAGAGCACATCATGTGCTGAGGAAGTCATCCTTGCCATTTATATCTTAAGACCTATGGAAATGACCTGTGAAATATACAGATATAAAATTTGTTTGTACTGAAATGTTTTATGGCACAGATCTTATTTCCTTATTTACTGCTGCATTTCTTACTTTTATCATTTTAGCCTCATCGTATTTCCCTTGTAATCGTCTCAATTCATTTTGTTTGAGTTACAATTGTCATTTCTTCTCATGAATTCTGAAGTAATATGAGTCTGGAAGTGAAGTAGAAGTTAGAAGATGTTCAAGAATTATCAGACTATCAGTTATGTATGTCTCATATTTATCGAATTATCAGACTATCAGTTATATTTATCGAATGGGATACACGTCTGGCAGCTTGACTATCTTTCAGATGGAATGTAGGAATCAAATACGTGCAAAGTTGAATATGAATCTTTGTATATGACATTAGAAACCAATATTACATTTTTGAATTTGATAAGAGTTGGCGGTGATGCAAATGTTATTTGCTATTTACTGTCTATTGTTTGACTGCTTGGTTTCTAGGATACCTTACCATTAGTCACTTAATATAGGTTCTTCCTTTAATCAAAGAGCACAACCCTTCGTGAAAAATGAATGGTTTTCATTCACTGCTAAATTTCGTAGTGTTGGATTGCGCTTTTTGGTTAAAAAAAAACAAAATGTTGTTGCGCATCCAGAGGTGGATTATCAGCAATGCAATCTCTGAAATAAACAGCTAACTATCTTAAAAGCATTTCCTTTATTGAAGAATGTTCATCTAACTGGTGATGCCATAAGGTGAGTTTAGATTCCATGAGGTTTAGTAGCAATGCCCTGAATTGTTAAGAAGATTACACTTTTTACTTCTGGAAGAACACTGAAAGGATAGTACAGAAGTAAAAATTTCCAAACTAACGTCTCATGTTATTGATAAACGCAGCATCTTCCTCTTTATCATTTTTCCTGAATTTTTCTGCCACCTGCTGGGTCTGATTGCAGATTTCAACTCTGCAACACTTGTCTGAGACATTGAATTTGAAGTCCTTTGAGTGATTTTTGTTTTCGTATAGTTTTTGTTGAACCTAATGAGAACATGAATCTCAAGATTTTTTAATTTTTATTTATTATTTTTATTTGGGAACAGGGAGGAAGCCGAGAAAGAGAAGAAAAAGCATTCTAGACAAAGTTATGATAGGGTGTATTTAAAAGTTCGGCTGGATCACCAAGTTGAGTTTGGGGAGCACATTGCCATTTTAGGGTCAACAAAAGAACTGGGTTCATGGAAGAAAGAAATATTGATGCATTGGACGGAAAATGGATGGATTTGTGATTTGGAGCTGAAAGGGGGTAAACCTGTAGAGTGTAAATTCGTGATCTTGACGAAGGACAAGAATCTGGCATGGGAAAGTGGTGAAAATCGAGTCTTGATGGTACCTGAAAAGGGAAATTTCGAGATTGTTTGTCATTGGAATATGACAGATGAGCCTGTAGAGTTACTAGCTTTAGATTCGACAACGGCTGAAGAAGTGGGAAGCTTAGGTGACAATGGGACCACGTCTGCTACTGATGTGGCTGGAGCAGATGCCGTGGCAAGTCCTTTTGTGGAGAAATGGCAAGGGAAAACCGTGTCTTTTGTACATTCCAAGGAACAGCTTGACGACGAGAAGGTTAGGAAGTGGGACACAGCAGGTCTTGAAGGGGCTGCCTTGAAGTTGGTTGAAGGTGACAAGAATGCAAGGAACTGGTGGCGGAAGGTAAATCATTGACTTCTTGTTAAATGTGAAGTTATTGATCTCTTACCTGGGGGTCTCAATGAGTAATATTCTCCTTTTGGAAACTACGCCATCTTTGTTTTGAAAGAGGCTTCCCAGTATTAGTTTGTATGGTTGGTTAAAGGATTACGAAAACTTATCTGATGCATGTATGAGAAAATATTCAAAAGGAAAAGAAAATTTGCTTCTTATGACATCCAAAAATGGATACTTATCACACAGTAGCTGATACACTTTGTACTAAACTCGGAGATAAGTTTCAAAATGTTAAAATGACATTTTTAGCCGTGAAGATCTGCATTAAATTCAGAGAAGAATTTTACATAATTTCTCTTGTGATAAAGGAGGACAAAATGTGAGTTTTTAGTAGTGCTTATATATGTAAGTTAGTCCTTACATTGAAGAAACAGCCTGTGCTCATAATCTAGTGGTTTCTTTTATCTCTTCTTATTTCCAGGTGGATGATGAGTTGCAAGTTTTTACGATTATGCTATAAACATTGAAGATGAGAAAATTGAAGAACTGATGTACTTGAAAACATACTGCTAAAGTTTAGAGAAGGATCACTAAGAATTCACTAAGTTCACGTAGCGCTAGACTTAAATTCCTAATGCATTTTAAAGTACTTGGAAGTGAAAATATTTGTATTGCCCAAGCAGCTATTTGCTCTGTGTTATAGTTGGAGCACTTCTAACTTGGCTACAATAATAATGTGGCGAATATTCACTCGGTTTTTTATTATTATTTTTTTTCTGTAAATAATAAAAACTGAATTTAGTTTTAATTGTTCTCTTATCACAGGCCAACAATAATTTGTCCTTAAATTGGACCCTAAAACTCAGCACCGTGAACAAAATAACATAAACACAAAATGGTAGTTATACTGAAATATCATACAAGTCTTACATGGGAATCTTGTGAAGTGATGGCTACTGCTTCAAATTTTATGTTTTGCTCTCTCAGTGTTTTCAATATTCTCATTCCTTCTCCCCATTTAGTATTGTCTTTTGTTGGTTGATTCCGTTTTCCATTTTGCATTGGTGGTGTAGCTTGAAGTCATCCGTGAATTAGTTGTCGAAAATGTGAAAAAGGGGGATCGTTTGGAGGCTCTTGCGTATTCAGCTATCTATCTGAAGGTATTTTGGTCGTGCATATTTCATTGCTTCTTTTGGTGTTTGGCTTTTCTCTGATCTTATTGAATGTACGCAGTGGATAAACACAGGGCAAATTCCATGCTTCGAAGATGGGGGCCATCATCGGCCCAACAGACATGCTGAGATTTCTAGGTTGATATTTCGTGAGTTGGAGCGGATTTCATATGGGAAAGATGTTTCTTTGCAGGTAGTTATCGCTATTTCTTCTATGTTTGATCTTCTTTAAAGTTGCAAAAGTGATTTCTACTGCTAGACACAGAAGGATTTGACATTGGTTGTTTAGTATCCTCCCTTCTTATATGTATTTGGTAAATTCGAGTTTCTTGTATGGTTTTGTAAGTTATTTTGTGAGAGTCCATACACTCATTTATGTGTGCTTTAGACCTTTCTTCATGATTATTTTATATGAGTCCATACACTTGTTTCATCTCGTTACTAATTTTCGATTTTTTTTTTAATTTAAAATTTGCAGCTTAAGCTCTTGTGTACTTTTAGATTCTTCTTATTTTTTTTTAATTTAAAATTTGCAGCTTAAGCTCTTGTGTACTTTTAGATTCTTCTTAATTTATCTACTGTGTTTGGGCTTTACTAAAGTGTTCATTGTTTCCCCATGACCTAAGTTTCTGAATTTGATGTTATGCAGGAAGTTCTCGTCATCCGCAAGATTCATACATGTTTGCCCTCTTTTAAGTCTGAATTCACTGCATCTGTACCTCTTACGAGGATCCGGGATATTGCACACAGGGGTGATATTCCCCATGATCTCAAGGTAATAGTTGAACTATTAGATGTACTAACATATAGATGTATTTGTTCTCACAAGTGCATTGTATTATGCTGTTACTGCTATTCAGCAACAAATCAAGCACACAATACAAAACAAACTTCACCGTAATGCTGGCCCTGAAGATCTGGTTGCCACGGAATTGATGCTGGAAAAGATTACCAAAAATCCCGGGGAGTATAGTGGAGAATTTGTTGAACAATTTAAGATATTTCATCGTGAGCTTAAGGATTTCTTCAATGCTGGAAGGTCTGGTCTTTCTTCACATGCATTCTCAATGACTTTGAAGTTTTATCGTATTAGCTGTTTCTTTTGTCTTTTCATCTTTCTCTCATGATATTTTTGGAGTGAGGATGTTAACATGTTGGATAATAAAGTGGCACTTGAAGCACGAGAGTGGTATCATTGTAACTGCCAACTAAAAAAAAAAAAAAACTGAAAAATCGGGTTAAAGTTTGGCAAATTTGCAGAAATTTGTACAGTTCTGCAGCGAATTTTAACATGAGGTTTCAGTTGATCATATTATTTATGGTGTAGGGAAGAGACAAACAGTCTCTATCTGGTCTAATATGTTTTGAGTTCGAGACCTTGGGGAAGCATGTAATGGGTGATTAACATAAAACGAGTAGAAACTATAGAATCATGAACTCAAATTAAAGGGGGGAAGGGGAAGATCCTAAAGGAATCTAGGAACTTTTAAGAAGAGATGATGCACTTGAACTTAAATGAAAATGTTTTTGGATAGAGTACAAACGACTACACGTGATCCATGTGGCTGACCTCACATAGTGGGATAAGGGCTAAGTTGTTGTATGGTGGTCATACATGTCTAACCCTGAATATGAAAGAAACGTGTATGCTTGTATATGTCCTTTTGTTGACCCTTAAGAGAGGGGGTCAAAAGTGGTTAACTTGAATAGTATAGGGGCCAAAAGGTTATGAAAAATAGTTCATGGGTCAAAAGTGACTGATGATAAGGGTAAGGTCCTGCATGTATTATACGCATAACTTATTTGTGTGGCTATAGATGTTAAAAAGCTAAGGATAGCAGGTAAAAATCTCATAGATTAACTTCCAAAACACCAGTGATGGATTTGTTCTATCTGGGTTGATCATGGATGAAAAAGCATCCAATTCAATCAAAATAATGTAGTTGAGGAAGCTGAGTTAATGCATTAGAATGATTGAAATGGATTCGAAACGAGCCAAAATTAATCAGCAAAAGCCTTTTTGAGAATGAGGAGTTGATGAAGGGGAAGAAAAATATATTGTATTATGGTTGCCGAAATCATTTAAGCATTTGAGAACTTGCCAAATGTGCCAGTACTAAAAATAAGAGTAAGAGTCTCAAGTTTTTTCTTCTTCTTCTTCTTCTTTGTATGAGAGATGAAATAGCCAGTGTTTGTGTACTTTTGACACAGGGAAAAAATGAATTAAAATCCCTGTGATGAAAAACAGCTGTTCATATGACCAACTCCTACCTTGTTATTTCAATTTTGCAATCAAGGCATCCTGTCTTTTCAATTTTTGAACGTGCAAAGGATTAAGTCCTACTTCAGTCATATAAAGGTGGAACCTATATTTCTCTCAGCAATCCCACTGTCATATTGATGGGGGCAAGGAATGGTAGAAGAACCCTGTCAGTAGGTTCTTCCATATTTATGGCCAGGATCATCATGATCCAGGGAAGGAGCCAAAGTGTTGGACTTTGGTTAAGTTAATCCTTTATTAAGCAGTAATTTAATTATTTATTTCAGTATTAATATTTAGGAAAGGGTATTTTAGTATACTAGCTATGCTGCAGGAATTTCTTGGAATAAAAAGGAAATTAGGTGAGAATCCTAGTTGTCTTTGGTTTAGGTTAAGTTTTAGGCCTATTTATATGTATCTCATATGAGGAGATTTTTTGAGAGACGTTGATTAATAAAAATTCCTGCAATAAGCTTTGCTTTGCAATAGTTGTGTGACTCAACTAAATCCTTGGTGTGATGCCTAGGATTCCTGCGGTGTGACGCCAAAGGGCCCTAAGAGTGATTCTTAGGTTTTCTTCTCTTCTTCCTTTCCTACCCTTAATCCCTGTTTTCCTGCGATTTCCAAGCTTGTTTTCCTACAGATTCTTTTAGTTTCCGCTGCATACTACTCTTTAATCAGCCTAAGTTCTGATTTCTTAACCACCACGTTTTTGTCCTGCGTCACATATTGTCATGGATATTTGATAATGAGTTTTCCCTCATCTATAAGATATCTGTATTATCTATCTTATTGCTGTCAATTAATTCCATCTATATGTTTGTGCTTAATGTAATAAATGTGATTCCAGGTAGCTGTCCCCAAGTATGTAGGATGAAGCATTTGAGAAAGAAAGATAAAAAAGAACATGAGAAGAAAAACAGTTTCATTGGGGAAGGCGATTTTTTTTTTTTAACATCATCCAAAATGTTTGCTGAAATGATGACAGATGTATGATTCATTGTGTTATGATTTCATATTCGTATCGTATATAATTTAGGGTGAGAATCAGTTTTCTTATTACAAACCTCAAGCCAACAAAACTGTGTTGATTTCTTTTCAGTCTGGAAGAGCTGCTTGATTCTATTATGGAATCACTTGATGAGAAAAGCCTTTCCACTCTTTCAAACTTTTTGGAAACAAAGAAGGTACCTGTTTTGTACTCTATTTTATGTTACAGGTCTAGTGACAGCACTGTGCATGTAAATTTAGTAACCTGTAGTTCTAAAATACGTGTGGTATTCTGAAGTCAACCAAATGCATATTTCCTGTGATATGTTTGTCAGTAATTTGCATATACTTCTTGGTGCGCGTTGGTTGCTTCTTCTAACACTGAACCATATATGTATGTATCTGTTGTTTTATGCTACACTTGAATCTAATCAATTAGTGCTACATTATTGAGATTAATATATCTTTTGGTATAATGTAGTACTGTTTTGAAGTTCTAAATCTGTTTAGAAGAAGTAATCTTCATATATAGTTATTGAACGCTTGAAAACTGTGCAAACTATGGAGTTAAATTCCATTACGTATGGATGCAATGGAAGGAAGTGGTTTTTACGTAAGCCTTAAAAGTCTCTGAAACTCTCTTTTATGCAATGATGAACAGTAAAAATTGGATTAGCGATTGTAACAAAAGGGGGGAAAAAAGAAAAAAAGAAAAAAGGATTAGCAAGATCCCAAGTTGTCTGGAATGTTCTACATTCATTTGCATTCTTATTCACATATAAACTTGGTACTTGCATATTTAAACATTAAAATACTTTTTGGTTTTCATGTGCCAAAGGATTTTGCGCTTATATTCCAATTTCAAAGAAAAAAAAAAGGAAAGTTACCCTTGCTACTGGATGTTTAAACCATGGGATTTTGGTGTTTTTATACTAAGTAAAACTTTACTTGCACAATTTCATTATTGTTTTCCAGAGCTTGGACAAATTGAGTAAATCAAGTAACATTTCGGAGTTTGAAGAAATGGGACAGTTGATCAAGACGATCCAAACCTTAAACAATGTACGCACAGTAATTATTAGGGGCCTTGAAAGTGGTCTTCGGAATGATGCTCCTGACGCTTCAATCGCAATGCGTCAAAAGGTAATCTTGTCTGGTTTTTCATTATTTTTAATAGCCACAATATCAAAATTGAATAGAATTTTAATCTCTTAAATTGTGCAACTGATATTGTTTTGTCAGTGGCGTCTTTGTGAAATTGGGCTTGAAGACTATGCATTTGTTCTTCTAAGCAGGTATATTCATCTTGTTCCTGGGTTTGAACTATGTACTATCATCTTAAAATGTGCATAAATATCTATAAATGAATTTCGAGGTTGATGGTCTACGCAATTAATAACAGTTTTTTCTTGCATGCAAATTTTTCCATCAAGTCATATTAAGAATGGTGCAAAATGTCCATAATTCCAATGCTTTTGAATGTTACGTTTTACTTCCTCCATAGAGTTACTAAACCAAGTATTTACAATTGTTATTTTGTTGGAGTTTCATCAAGAAACAAAGACAAAGGTAGTCTTGCTCTATCCAACCTCTGTTGATCCGTTGCAATGTGCAATCTCTTACATCTCAGCTCAAATAATTCATATGAATTTATTTTATTTTCTTTGATACCAATTCTTGTATTCCCTCATTATCTTGTTACCAACTAGGTCTTCATATTCTGCGTTTATGCCATTTTTCATTGTAGGCTTTTTTTTTTTTTTTTTTTCTCTTTTTTGTTTTTTCCATCTCAAACATTGGAGTTTGAAACCCCAAGGGTATAAGGAATAAGTTGTTGTGTCGGTTGGAGTTTGAATGAACACTTTTTTCTTTATGAAGGCACAAGAACTGTTTGGATGCCTTCTTTGTTGGTTCTCAAAGGGTGTGCAGATACTGACAGCGCAGAATTAGTTCACTTAACATCCTCTTTCCATTCATAAAGGTTATGAAATAATACCCGGACAATTACTCAACTTATGTGTGAAATCCAAGTTATTAGGAGGAAAGAAGGTCAGCTCATTATTAGGATAGTGGACTGTCTTAATGCTCACATATTGGCTATGTATTGATAAAACGGACACCCCCTCCTTCCTCCATTAATTAATTTGAATGTAGTTTTCCTAATTGGTTGATGTTTGATGATATCTAGACTTTTTTTGATCTATTAATACAATACAATATTGCTGCTTTGGTTGGAAATGTTGTGGTTTCTCAATCATCTTAAAGTTTGAGAGTAATGAGCTTTTGAGAAGTGGAGAATCTAAACTTGAATCGGCATTGTCACCATATATTTATATACTGATACTGGATTGTAAAATTTGTAGGTTTCTCAATGTACTTGAAAAAACGGGAGGAGATCATCAGCTATCTGAGAATGCGGGTGTCAGTGTTTGGAGTGATCCTCTCGAGGTGCTTATTATTGGTGTCCATCAGTTGGGTCTTTCTGGTTGGAAGTTAGATGAATGTCGTGCAATTGGAAACGAACTCTTTTCATGGAAAGAAAGAGGTCTTCAAGAAAAAGAAGGTAGTTTCTAATTTTCTTGTTTGAATTCTTCTATGTCCCAGCATTTCATATGGTACTGTATGCTCATCTTGTACAGGTAATGAAAATTGTAAAACTATCTGGGGATTGAGGCTTAAAGCTACTATTGATAGATGTAGGAGATTGACGGAGGAATATTCTGAGGTTCTCCTGCAGATATTTCCCGAAAAAGTTCAGGTATAACTGATAGTTTCTTCTGGTTACAATTTCGACATCACATGCATCCATTTAAATCTCTATGAACTGTAGAAAGAATTCTGGGTGCCTGTGGTCAATTTTAGATACAACTGATGTTTTCTGTCTGGTTACAATCTTCATTTTCATATGCACCATCATAAGGTCTATATGAACTAAAGATCAAATTGTGATGCCTGTGGTTTGTTAATTATGTCGAATTTTTCAGTGTCAATAAACCCACGAAAAATAAGGGGCTTCATCTCAGATATCGCTCTGAGAGTTCAGGAACAAAACATATGTAGGCCGGGTTAAACTGTGCCTTCATTTGCACCCTTCATCATGTACTGTTGGTATCCATAAACTGTGCATGATGGTACATTTTAGGCCATATCATTTCCGGAGTTGTCAAGTTCCAGGAGCAAGATCTGTATCATCCTTATACGCCTTATTTCCAACTTCATTAGCCTTTTAATATTATTAAGTGAAGAAAGAACTTAAATTTAATCAAAGCTTTGAGTAGTCTACCCAATAGTGGGCTCAAATTAAGGTCGTGATATTCTAGACAATGTATAGCGTCATGTTCTTGTTTTTGCAGATATTAGGAAAAGCTCTGGGTATCCCAGAAAACAGTGTTAGGACATACACTGAAGCTGAAATTCGTGCCAGGTATGATGACGCTTGCTTTAAATTTTGATCCGGTGCCAAGAAACGCTGATGTGCATGTACTTTATTATTTTTGAACACACCAGTAAAATTTCTAACTTACATGTTGTAAATGTCATCTGTAGTGTTGTTTTTCAGGTGTCAAAGCTTTGTACCCTTCTTTCAAAGGGTATCAGAAACGTTCTTGGTTCCCAGGGTTGGGATGTTCTAGTTCCTGGAAACGCTTCTGGAATACTGATGCAGGTATTATCCATCACAAAGTCAAGATTTTTCCATTACTTGGCTAGTTCAGTAGAGACTCAAGGAAGTTATCTTACTTCAAAGTAGGCTGAAATTACAAGTGTTGTATTCAGAGAAAAGATTTATGTGAGGAGTTTTCTTTTAAGCATGGGCACAGATTCTCCTCCTTGTACATACAATGTAGTCTATTTTCAGGGAATCACCCTGCACCAAGTTTTCTTGGGAAGCAGTGAGCTTGATCCCATTTGTGTTCATATTATTATTCTGTTAGAAAACCTTCAATGTTTGGCTTGTCTTGTTAAAGATTCCTGATTATGGGTACCAGATTAAAGAGCATGCAAATAACTATTTCTTTTGTGAGTGGGTGCTGCATTAAAGGTGTAAGGGTGCAGCAGCCTGATTGCATATTCTTTTCACCTGGAATAAATTCTCATTGACTAGTTGAAGTGAATGCCCCCAATTCTGATTAGTTTTCTCTTAGGTTGATGCTATTGTCCCGGGGACACTGCCATCGTCTGTAGAAGGACCTGTTATTCTTGTGGTCAATAAAGCAGATGGGGATGAGGAGGTAGGGAAGCAAGATCTTTCGTTCAATCAATTAAATATTATTGAGCCTTTGAGACAAGTAAATTTTTGCTTCTTATGTAGGTGACAGCAGCGGGGAGCAACATAGCTGGAATTGTACTTCTTCAAGAGCTGCCTCATTTGTCTCATCTCGGTGTGAGAGCTCGCCAAGTAAGTCAAAGCTTTGTTCTCAGTACCTTTGTAACTATGCTTCTGATTTGGAAAAATATATGTATATATATATATATATATATATATATATATATATTTATATAAATGATTTAGTGAAGCGACTCAACAAAACTACAGGAGAAGGTCGTGTTCGTGACATGTGAGGATGATGAGAAAATTGCTGATATAAAAGACTTGAATGGAAGATATGTGAGGTTAGGAATTTATTGCATGAGTTCTCAGGCCTTAAAGTTAATGTACTATATTACATACTGTGTAGTAAATTTTCATCCTTGAGCCCGTCTCAGAGCTGTAATTCTACTCTATTTGCTAATGTCTTTGTTTCTGATCTCTCGTAGGATGGAGGCTTCCTCAGAAGGTGTCAAATTGTTTCCATCATCGGAACATGTACTTGGTGAATCTTCTGCCAAAGTTTCTTCTATGATAGAAAGGTCATCAGAGACCAGTGCCCCATGGATTGGTATTGAAACCAGAGAGGTATGAATCTAACTAGCCTTTTTTTTTTTTGGTTTCTGTTTATTCTTCTTTTCTTTTGGAGGCAGTCAGCTTTAACATGTTCGGGTATTAAGGAAATGATAATATTATAGGTTCCCAGCAGTGGGGTTTTACTACTGTCTGAAGTGGATTTGCCAAGTTCAGGGGCAAAAGCAGCAGCTTGTTCACACCTGGCTTTCCTAGCATCTGCTTCTGAGACAGGTATAAATGGTCCTGTTCCAGGGAAAAAGTTCTGTTTCTTTATAGTTTTTGCCTTTGTCCTGTTGCACTCTCCTTTGCTTTATGGGCACAAAGTTATAGGGAATTAAGTAAAGACATTTGTGTGTTTGTCTCAAGATAGTAGATGATGTCTTGAGTGATTGTGGCTCCGTCTTGAAGTATGTTTATCATCTTTGAGTACTGGCGAACTTAAAAAGAATATTCTGTAAAATAGCCATTGGACCAGTGATGGTTTACGGTTCAGGAGCTAGTCAACCCAAAAATGAACATCAGGGAAGAAGGCACTAAGAAATAGGAGACTGTTAGAGATGAAGATGTAGATTCCACTAGATTAAACAGAATCATCAATGAATAGTACGAATATAAACTCAGTGAAGGTGCGGCTTAAACAAGTCGAAAGTGACCTTAAGTTTCCTCAGTAAGACATAGAAATGGACAACCATTGGCTCAAATTAAAGAGGAATTGTAAATCTGAACAGAATTAGGAAGAAACCTTTGAAATACATGATTATTTAGAAGCCTCAGGAATGGGTAGCTGTTATCCTGCTCTTGTTAGTGCCTACGATTTTTATTTCCTGATGACCCTCTCTCATATCTCCTCACCCTATATCACTCTGCTGGGTTCTTCTTTTATGGGAACTTTTAGAGTCACCTTGATAGAAATGTACTATAATCATAAATAGAGAAGAGTACTCATTTCTTCATGTCTAATTCCCTTGCCCTCAACTCTTTTATGACAGTTTCTAGTGAACATGGAGTACCAGCTTCTTTTAAGGTCCCTGCCAGTGCAGTTATTCCTTTTGGTGTGATGGAATTGGTTTTAGAGACAAGCAAATCAATCGAAGCCTTTAGGTCACTAATAGAGCAGATTGAAATGGCCGCAATCGATAGCGAACTTGATAAACTTTGTTATGAACTACGCGAATTGATCTCATCCCAGCAACTACCTGAAGAAATAGTTGATAGATTACTGAAAGTATTTCCAGAAAATGCTAGACTATATGTTCGCTCCAGTGCCAATGTAGAGGACTTAGCTGGAATGTCAGCTGCTGGACTCTACGAATCAGTTCCAAATGTTAGCCTTTCAAATGCCAAGGTGTTTGGACAAGCCGTTTGCCAAGTTTGGGCCTCTTTATACACTCGCAGGGCAATTTTAAGCCGTAGAGCTGCTGGTGTCCCACAGAAGCAAGCAGCTATGGCTGTTCTGGTGCAAGAAATGCTATCACCAGATTTGTCCTTCGTCCTCCACACATTAAACCCTATGGATTCTGATAGTACTTCAGTCGCAGCAGAGATTGCTCCTGGGCTTGGGGAAACTTTAGCATCTGGCACACGAGGTACTCCTTGGCGTTTATCTTCAGGAAAATTTGATGAACGTGTACGAACATTGGCTTTTGCTAACTTTAGTGAAGAGTTGGTTGTTCGTAATACTGGGCCTGCAAATGGAGAAGTTCTGCGCTTGACTGTGGACTACAGCAAAAAACCATTAACGATTGATGCAGTTTTTAGGCAGAAACTTGGACAGAGACTTGGAGCTGTTGGTTTCTTCCTGGAGCGCAAATTCGGATGTCCTCAGGATGTTGAAGGATGTTTAGTGGGAAAAGACGTATACATTGTGCAGACACGTCCTCAGCCCCTGTAAGGTTCAAGGTTTATATGTTACTAAGTTCTGAGCTGGCAGAACTCGGGTGAAATATTCGCCATTCTGCAATAATAGCGCATCGCCACATGTGCTTGCTCGGAGATGAAATTTGCTGAATAACACTGTCAATATAGATGAAGGGATGGCATATAACATAGCCCGTTTTACCAGTTGTGCAAAAGACAATCAATAATATAGGATTTGGAAAATTGGAGTCGGTAGCTTAGAATATAGAGCCCTTCTGTAGAATACTATTGTGGCGTCACGTCTTCAATAAATATCAGCTAACATGAGATTAGTTAAATGTTACTTAAGGCCTTTTGATGATACTTAGGGAGAAGTTAATTTTGTTTTTCTCTCCTAAAACTATTAAAGGGCTTATATCATTGTATGCGTTTGTTTTTAGTCTTGGGTGATGTTGCTCAAAAAATAAATAAATAAATAAAAATAGGGTTGGACTTTGGAGAATTGGAGGGAGATGGTCAGTTTAAATTTCGTTGGGACAATTTGGGGAAAGCCCCGAAAAAGGAGCAAGATTAGTCATATGAACGATTCAAATACTAAAAAAAAACATAAGAAAATCACTGTTGTGGTGTATTCACGAGGTCAGAAATTGTTCTAAATAAAAATCATAACAATACTCTCTGTACCTTAAAATGATTGTCAAATTTGAATTTAAACTAAAGATGAAAATCTAAACTTAGACAATTATTGTAGGACAGATTGAAGTACTAACTAATAATACATTGAGGAGACAATTAAATTTGCTTCTTTGTTACCTAGAACTTGTCGACGTTGATTTACTTTCTTTGTACTTTTGAGGATTATGCCGTGAGATTACTGACGGTGAAAACATGCAAACCTCTTAGTTGGAGATATTATAGCTACCAAAATGTTTTTTTTTTTTTGTTTATTGAAAAAATATTCCCATCATTTTCAAAAAGGAATATAATTAAATAAAAAATTGATTATAAAATATTGGAATGGAGAAATGAACACTATTTATTTTTATTCACTCAAATTTGAATAACTATTTTTGAATGAACAAATTTGAATAACTATGTATCACAAAGGATTGGGAGTAGTCGCGAAGCAACTACGCAACTGCTTAAAATGATATAAGTACAGTTGATTAATGATCATACAACCTCCATGTGATTTTGGACCATAAAATGCAAAATAGAAACGAAGAAATAAATTTTGTGTTCTCTTTTTTATAGAAAAAATGAATTTTTTCATTTCTTTCTTATTTATATACACACATATATAAATGTTTTCCCTTTCTCATAATCACGCCAACAATCATTTCAGTTAATCCTCACACTTTACTTTAAAGGTTAAACATTAAATATATGCTTCATTATGTATCAGAAAAATTTTTTACAGAGATTTTTTTAAAATATGAAATGGAATCATTTGTCAAATTTACTGTATAGTTGAAGAGTTTGATTATACGTATCATAACTAAATTCGCAAAAAATAATAATCATAAATAAATTAAAAGAAGTAAAATGAGTCTAGGCTTGCATTCTCTCCCTCAAGGCTACCCATTTCAAGCCTCTCTCTAATTTACCTTGATTCTGTTTTATTCATCTTCAGTGCATCTCCAATGGAAACTAATAGAATTTCTATGATCATCCTGGAGCAAGCAACAACTGGCTTTTCTGGGCTTGCGGAAACACAGAAGTTATGCACTTGAATGTAGAAACTCACTCCACTTCAATATGAGAACGCACAAGAACCTGAAAACCCGAATTCCCAAAATCTATCTGCGCTTCTCGGATTTGGTCAACTGAATCTGTAACGCAGTCCAGACAATTATAGACCTCAATCATGTCAAGAGTTGGAGTATTTTGCGAGCACTCAACAGGAATCTCTTCCAGCAAACGACATTGTTGTAGCACCAACTTCTGGAGGTTGGGGAACTCGTACCCATCCGAAACTGTCCACTTGACAAACTCCAGTGATTGCAACTTAAGAAATCTAAGTTCCGGGAATTCCCCTTCTTCCACGTTCCATGTTTCCCCAACAAAATAGTCATCAATTATTTTGAGTACCTCAAGATGAGGTAATTGTGCAACAGGTTTGAATTTTTCCCAGGGAAACTCACCTCCATACAGAGTTAACTTTTTAAGTTTCTCCGGGAAAACAAGCTCGGAACAACTGGTGCAACCCTGCCAAAATGACAAATGAAGTGATTCCAGCCGACTCAGGAATGAGAAGGACATAAGACTGCGACCAATACTGGGGTTGGGGTCTACTTGAGATCCATAGAGTTCACATCGTAGCTGGCGGATGTTTGGAAGCTTTCTCAATAGCTTTTCCATGATGCTCCAGTTGGGACTTATTAGGGTAGAAAAACTGACTAGCTCATACAAATTGGAGGAGCCATCAAGATTATCATTAACTCGCAACTCAATGCCAGATCCCATTGAGGTCAGGTGCAGATGCCTCAGTTTTTGCAGATTCCAGAATGTTTTTGGAAAGACAACACCACTTTGTCCACGAAGAATCAGAATTTCTAAGTTAGAAAGGTTACCTATCGATGGACTGACACGTTCATAAGTAACTTGGATTGCCAAAAATATCAACTGGACTAGAAGTCCTATTTCACTAGGAAAACCAAGGCTGGTTTCAAGTTTCAACTTGCTCAATATCCAACACCTTAAGAAGCTTGAAGATGTGAAAAATGAATGAAGTGTCAAGCATTGGAAGACTCCATTCGTTTGTATGATCATGGAAAAGCAATGAACGTAACTGAGGGCAGAATAACTTAGCCTCCTTAAATTGCCGTTGATTAGAGTGTACACATAATCTTCCCAGGTTGCCGGGCGCATGGAAAGATAAAAGTTCCTTTTCGTCTTTTAACAGTAGGAAAAAAAATTTTCTCTGGCTTTCTTCAAACAAAACTCATGAAGCAAGTCATGAGTACGACGAGCTTTGATACCTCCACTGGAGCTTTTTTGGGTCTCCATAACCAAGCTTCGGGCAATCAAATTCTTTAAAGTAATCTGTCGCAACCTCTTCTAAGCTCTTTAACTTAGATTTCTGAACAAACCCTTCAGCAATCCAATACCAAATCAACCTCTTGACAGAAACCACATGGTCTTCTGGATATACTCCAAAAAGGAGGAGACACGACTTCAAATGTTCTGGTAAACATCTGTAGCTTAGCTCTATCGCATTGTGGCATTGCTCTGTACTGGAGATGATGCCGGACCTTAAACTTTCAAGAATTTCATTCGAAGCCTCTTGCTTTGTATTTGATAAAATTCCAGCCACAACGACGATTGTGAGAGGTAATCCTTTAACAGTTTGCAATTTCTATCCCAATTTCATATAATGATGCATGCCAATCTTCCCAAGGAAGAAACTTCCTCCTCATTAACTCCAAACTCTCATTGCCAGTGAGTAGACGAAGAAAAAGAGGCTTCTCATCGAGTAAATTTTCTGGAGCAACATTACATTGTCGACTTGTCAGGAGAATCCTACTTTCACTCAAATCATCAGGAAATCATTCTTTCAAAAGATCAAATGCTTGGTTTTCCCATACATCATCCAAAAATACGAGATACCTATGGCGTTTCAAAGAACGCCAAAGCGCTTGCACCAAATCACCTTTAGTCTTCTCAAGATAATCATCAGGAAGCTTTCCACGAATTTGAGTTAAAAGAGCAAGTAAGACTTCCTTTAATTTGAGATCCTGTGAAATAGAACACCATGCACGAACATCAAAATGGTGACTAACTGAAGAACAATTGTAAACTTTACCAGCCAAAGTTGTCTTTACAAGCGAATGACTAAGACTTCATTCACTGTTGTATTGCTACTCTAAGGTTGCACCTGAGATGATGTCCATGTGGCTTTAATCGGTTGTCTCAGAGATATCTTCGCAACATCAGTTTTAATAATCTTGATGTCAATTGTTATGGAATCAAGTGCTTCTGTAAAACATTCTTGGATACCTCCAAGCACTAATTGGTGATAGCAATCTCGCAGATGAAGCAAATTTTGTTAATGCAACCATCAAACAGGAAAGTATGAAGATAAGTCGTCTATCCCGTGAAACTCAAAAGAGTGCGGAAAATTCACAGTAAGACGATCGTTTATCTAAGAAATTCTATCTCTTAACTCAAACCAAGCAAAGAACACATTATCTATGAAATATTCGAATTAAACAACAACTCACACTAAGAATAGTAAGGACACCATTCAATATACTCGATCAGTCTTCATTCAAGAGACTCAAGAAAAGGTAGGAGCAAACAATGCTCAACTATGAAGGAATACTATTGATTAGTAATCTCCATAACCAACAAAGATATGCAACACATACACTATCTCAAAATGCTTATGCCAAAGCACAACTCATCCAACAAAAGTAAGACAAACCCCACAATGGAACTCATGAACACACACATCATGAACTCGAAAACCATAGCCAAAAGAAAGGCTCAACTCTCGAACTACTAGAAGTAGTATGAAAATAAGAAGTTTAGTTTTAAAACAATTCTATCAAGAAGTATACTTGAAAAAGAATGGGTTCTGCAAGATCAAAAGATCCAAGACAAGATGAAAACCCTCTTGGTTAAATCATACTTGACACAAAAAATGGACACACCATTTAACAAAAATTCCTTACAGGAAAAACTCTCATTAGAGACAACAAAAATAACCACTCAAGGGTGCTTTAATTTTCTGCCATTCTCCCCTATTTATAGGCTATGAATTTCAGCCAGCACAAAAAAAAAAGACCAAGTAGGACTCTCTAATCTTATCTCACGCAGGAGTAGAAGTAGAAGAGTATTTGATCTCATTGACTCTATCTAAAATCTAGGAAACCTTATCTAAATGACTTATCCTCAAATAGGATAATACTTAGAAGAAATCTAAGACTCCTAATCAAAATACTCTAGTTTAATTCAGTCCACATGACTTATTTAACTAGATAAATTCGAAAATAAACTCCTAGACTAGATAATATTCTAAATCTCGAAATTCAACTCCAAATATTGAAGTAAAATGTCTTGAACGCCTTTCCAAAGGTGAAATATTGGTCTTGCGCCCCTCAAGATGTAGATAACTCCAATTAACTCCAAAACTTGTAGAATTCTCTTTATTGACTCCAAAAGATTGGAAAAAATACTTGAAACAATTGAGATAGTTTGCAACCTATCCAATTGTGTAGCAATGGACTCAATCTTGAACACTTTGATCAAATAGGCCGTCCATTCATGAACCTAAATGATTCTTCTCTCTAGCTTGATCAATGATGTTCATGGAGCACCTAGAGTCAAACTTCCTTTGAAACTCTTGAGCACTTATTTCCATGAGTGAATCATCTCCTTGGGTTTGAACCCCAAAGTTAATGACATTCTCATCAACTTGATCATAGCTCTCTTGAACCAACTCCCTATCACATAGGTAGTCAAGATCCATGCTTTCTTCCTTGATTGGCCTACAAAGTAAACTTGGCATTCCAAAACTAGAATAAAATACTAGCTCATTCCCTTCACTAGGAGAATCACCATGGAAGGCTACATGATTCTCATCATCCCCTCCTTCTTTAAGAGGATTCGTCCTCGAATCATCAACCTCTAAACCTGCACAAGGAACAAACGAGATATAAGGGTTAGTAAAATCCTCACCCTCACCACACTCTGATTTTCTCTCATTGCGTGCATTTTTTTCTGTTTCCACGCTATTTTCATGGTTTTCTCTCGCCTCAAGTCTTACATCAGCGTGACCCTTTTTACTTTCTTGCGTCACTCTCTCGACTTTTTCTCTCCCTTCTGTATAGGTTATCTTACGTCTTTTCTCTCGCACAGATTCAGCTTCTTCATAAGTCAAAAGCTTAAGAATATATTTTCTGTCCTCTTTAGTAAAGACAAAGATATTTTTCGAGCAATGGTGCACAGCATCTACATCTAATTGCCAAGGCCTACCTAGCAAAATATCACAAAGAGACATAGGAATTACATCAAAGTAAATTTCATCCCTATACTCACCAACTTGAAAAGATACCATGGCCTTCTTAGTGACATCCACAACCATCTCTTCACTCAACCATTGAAGCTTGTATGGTCTAGTATGCGGATCCATCTTGATTCCGTTTGCTATGCAAAATTCGTCACTTATACAATCAGTACTCGACCCACCATCGATTACCAAATCAACTTCATTGGGCCACCCAACCGAACACTTAGTACGGAAGATACATGTCCGTTGATCACCATCTTCAACGCCAAACACCAACCCTTGATCCTCAATTGGACCATTCCAACCACAAGAAGTATCATGCTCTCTCTCCACTTCTAAGGCAGCGTAGTATGCCTAATAGAGCCTTGATTGCCTCCTTATCTTTGGGTCTAGCTTGTATAACAACACCCTTTATTGCTGTTTGACAACAACCAGCAATTTCAGAACTCATTGTTAATCAACAAAGTTGAAAAACCACCAAAAAGAAGTAATTGTGCTTTTGGTACTACACAAAAACTCCTTGAACCCTAGAACCAATGATAGTTCGGCCGAAACCCCCCCAAGAACCAAAGGAAGGTTTGAATAATGCTCTCCCCAAAAACAAAAACTCTCTTGTGTTTTTAAAAACACTAACTCGCAAAAAATTCAGAATAAAGAGAAGAGTGCTTCTCTTATTTTCAGCCTTGTGATCTCGGCAGCAAGAAGAAGAAGAAGAATGGAGTAGCGTGGTGTGAGAATTTTCGAAAAACAGCACCCCTATTTATAGGCAATGCAAGTCTTTTTGTGCAAGAAAACTCCTACAAGATAGGACCTAAATTTTCTCAAAAATATTCCCCCCTTAATTGATAAAATTTCAGTCAAAAAGATGGAATAAAAAGGAAGAAATCCGGCCACATATATATAGAAAATAATAGAGTCCTAAAACTTAGGTAATCAGAATTCCTTTTGGACACAACTTATGAAAGATTCATCCCTACTAATTAGAGATAAAAAAAATCCAACCCCCTTACTGCAATTAGGACTCAAAAACACGGCCAAACACAATCACAATTGTATTAAAAGACTAAAAAATTTTCAGATTAGGATAAGACTTCCTTATCTTAATAATTTTCAAAAATAGACTCACTTTTAATACAATTATAATCTCACTGAAATTATAATTTAACTCATGCAAAAATTAGTATTTAAATCCAAGTAGGACTCAAATAAAACACACAATAAAATTGTATTACTATTAGAAAACAAGGCTGAAAAATTCGGCCAATGTGAACACTAAAATCCAAGACCGAATAGGTCTCAAATCATAATACAATTTAGACTCAATAACCTTAATTTTAGGGATAAAATTTTTGGCCATGTGAACACACAAAGTCAAGACCAAATATGACTTGAAGTGTAACACAAATAGACAACCAAAATTTCAACTAGGACTAGGAAACCCTAATTTTTAGCTCAAAAATTCGGCTATTCTATGACTCTAAAATTCAAAACCAACTAGGCTTAGAACTCCACATAAAACACGTGCACATACATGCTTAAATGCAGCAAAACTTGGACATTTAACCTTTTACCACATAGTTAAAATTTGAAAAATTACTTTTGACTCACTTTAAAAAGGAAACTTGGAAATTACCACTTTCCAAAATGTCCAACAACTTTTAGAATACTTTCTAAAAACCACTTTCCAAATTGTATATGGAATTAACAAAATCACTTTTTACCAAAACAATCTTTTGCAAATAAAGTAACAAGAACACCATAAGTATAATGAAGTTGGAATTTAAAGTTCCTCATTCAACTATGACGTTTGCTTCATAATACTCAATTTAACACAAACCATTCATAAGACTCAATGACTCAACAAAGCCGTCTTCATAAGTGACCATTTGAAAATCAAATTTTCCAAAGACCAAATATGTAAACCTCAAGAACATATCTCAAAGCCTATAAGATTTCTTGTCATATATAAGAAAATTTTTAGTAAAACTTCACTCAATTCTCGATTCAACTCTCGAAAATTAAGGTTTTAAAACAAGTCAAAGACTTGAACCCTTAAAGTTGGCACAATTCAACTTCAAAGACCTTTAAACATTTGATACCAAAATTGATATCACTAAAATTCATCCTTCATCAAATGATAAAGAAAGTTTTGAAACTCAAGTTAAGAATCATGAAAGGTCCAATGATAGGAAGATCCAGTAATTCGACTCATTCTCAAAGCATAAGACTCGAGAAAAACCAAAAACCGACATTTGTTACTTTTGAAAATCTTTTGACACTAAGACAAAAACAAAATAATCAAAAGAATTGGAACTCTATGAAATTCTCGTTGTTTGAAAATCCATAAATTCCATTTTACTCATTAGATTCAAATGAGAACCAACAAGAAGGAAGTCTTTTTCATTTATACTATATGTAGAAAGTACAAAATCACTAAGCTTCACATTTCAAAGAATAGATCTAAGATATTTACCACAAGATAAACTCTTAAACCCTCATCATGTAAAGACATCTCTTTTAGAAAGAAAATGCTATCTCGAGCAATAAGCTCTTCTTTGGCATCAATTCTCTCCTTAAAGATTCAACACATAAGATCCACTAACTTGCTCATAGGAGAAACAGTTCTCTACTTGTAAATCAAGGATAAATTTCAAGATGTAGCGCCCACTTTGACTAGATACCAATGTACCATCATCAAGCTCTCGCATAGACCTCAAAATAACACCACAAGATCAAACAAATGTGTAAGAAATCACGCACAACCACACAAAAGACAAGATCAATTTTGAAAACGTAGTTTTCACAAGATTTTGATTTATTTTTTCAAAACTCATTCTGCAACAAGAAGGAACCTTGAAACAAATAAAGATAGTACTACTCGTTAGTAGCACAAAGCTCGATTACCACACCAAGAAACAGATTCAGTGGTAACTCAAGATATTCTCAAAACCAAGAAATATGAAGTCCTCAATAAAAAAGAAATCTCTCGACAATCAAACTGATACTAAAAATTGATATGATAATATCAATTAATACCATCAGTTATATAGTTCAAACTCTGATACCAGAAAATGATAGCAATCTCGCAGATGAAACAAATTTTGTTAATGCAACCATCAAACAAGAAAGTACGAAGATAAGTTGTCTATCCCGTGAAACTCAAAAGAGTGCGAAAAATTCACAGTAAAATGATTGTTTATCTAAGGAATTCTATCTCTTAACTCAAACCAAGAAAAGAACACATTATCTATGAAAGTTTCGAATTAAACAACAACCCACACTAAGAATAGTAAGGACACCATTCAATATACTCGATCAGTCTTCATTCAAGAGACTCAAGAAAAGGTAGGAGCAAACAATGCTCAACTATGAAGGAATACTATTGATTAGTAATCTCCATAACCAACAAAGATATGCAACACATACACTATCTCAAAATACTTATGCCAAAGCACAACTCATCCAACAAAAGTAGGACAAACCCCACAATGGAACTCATGAACACACACATCATGAACTCAAAAACCATAGCCAAAAGAAAGGTTCAACTCTCGAACTACTAGAAGTAGTATGAAAATAAGAAGTTTAGTTTTAAAACAATTCTATCAAGAAACATACTTGAAAAAGAACGGTTTCTACAAGATCAAAAGATCCAAGACAAGATGAAAACCCTCTTGGTTAAATCATACTTGACACGAAAAATGGACACACCATTTAACAAAAATTCCTCACAGGATAAACTCTCATTAGAGACAACAAAAATGACCACTCAAGGGTGCTTTAATTTTCACCATCCTCCCCTATTTATAGGCTATGAATTTCGGCCAGTACAAAAAAAGAAGACCAACTAGGGCTCTCTAATCTTATCTCACGCAGGAGTAGAAGTAGAAGAGTATTTGATCTCTTTGACTCTATCTAAAATCTATAAAACCTTATCTAAATGACTTATCCTCAAATATGATAATACTTAGAAGGAATCTAAGACTCCTAATCAAAATACTCTAGTTTAATTCAGTCCACATGACTTATTTAACTAGATAAATTCGAAAATTAAACTTCTAGACTAGATAATATTCTAAATCTCGAAATTCAGCTCCAAATATTGAAGTAAAATGTCTTGAATGCCCTTCTAAAGGTGGAATATTGGTCTTGCATCCCTCAAGTTGTAGATAACTCCAATTTACTCCAAAACTTATAGAATTCTCTTTATTGACTCCAAAAGATTGGAAAAACACTTGAAACAATTGAGACTGTTTGCAACCTATCCAATTGGTAGCAATAGACTCAATCTTGAACACTTTGATCAAATAGGCCGTCCATTCATGAACCTAAATGATTCTTCTCTCTAGCTTGATCAATGATCTTCATAGAGCACCTAGAGTCAAACTTCATTGAAACCCTTGAGCACTTATTTCCATGAGTGAATCATCTCCTTTGGTTTGAACCCCAAAGTTAATGACATTCTCATCAACTTGATCATAGCTCTCTTGAACCAACTCCCTATCACATAGGTAGTCAAGATCCATCCTTTCTTCCTTGATTGGCCTGCAAAGTAAACTTGGCATTCCAAAACTAGAATGAAGGACTATCTCATTCCCCTCACTAGGAGAATCACCATAGAAGGCTACATGATTCTCATCAATTGGTCAATCAGAAACTCCGTCCTATATGCCACCTCTACAGCAAAATTATAAAGAACATCGAGGTCCTCTTGTTGATTCTGAAACACGCCAGTTTTTTCAAAACTGATTTTAAGAAGAGAATGTGTTGTTCGATGATCTTTATGCAACCTTGGATATATGAATCGACCTTACGATTTCTCACTTCCACCATGTTGCCCAAAAGGTAATCCAAAACTCCTAGGACATTTGTCTTGGGAAAGCTGAATTGTGATGTTTGCAATACTTGGCCTTCAACCCCTATTCGGATCACCCGATTGTTCTGCAGTATTTCTAGAACCATATGATCAATTACAACATCTTTTTGATAAAGCAAAAAGATCAAAATTCCAATGTCACGTATCACAACTCCCAGAAGATCCCTGATTCAGACATCAATGAACTTGTTTGGATTCTCCTTCAGAGTACTTCTCAAGAATCTTAGTCCCTCATATAGTGCTATCAACTGATCTTTCAAAGAAACCCAATGAAGAGTCTCCGATTGTAGCATCTCCCAAAACATAGATATAAGAGAAACAAGGAAATCATTCACGAAAACTAAGGGATCATTGCCTAAGCTGATAGTGAGCACATGTAAATCACTGATTGAATGCTTTAAGCTTGTCAACACTCGAGTGTAAGTATCATATACACGAGTGTCGACATGTTTCATTTCATGCAAGAAAGCAGAAATCATACGCTTGGTTTCATCATGATAAGAAGCTTCTTTGTGATATAAAAACAGGCGTACCCTTACCTGTGCAGCTTTTATTGCAAGAGCTTCAATGTGAGTCAAAAAAGCTTGGAGTTCTTGAGGCTCGCCCGAACCTGAAAGAGTGGCAACACGAAAGAAATTTCTCAAGAATGTGATGATCTCTTTCAAGGCTTCTGTTGGTTCTAGAAGAGAGCAATCTAAGTCATAATACTCAGTCTTCAAACATACATCCTCAAGATTAACCATAACAGAATCTACAACATCCATGACTTGATTGGTCATTGGAGAACTTGATTGCTGCATGCAATCTAACAAAGTGATATACCATTTTTCGATTTCTGCTTCAAAAGACTCCGTTTCCTCTACATAGTTATCATCATGGTAACATTCCAGATAGTGAGACTCGGATTTCAAAAACCCATGGGATATATTCATGTCCACAGATATTCTTAAAAATTTAAATTTGTCCACCTTTATTTTAATCAATTCTTTTAGGGAAAAGACCCCCCAAAAAGATCATCATCATTTTGGAGCTGACAATTTCTGTTTTATGTTTTATCCCCTTCTTTATTGTTCCATGAATCAAAGTAATATTAAACTCTCCTTTTGCTAAAAACATATATCGTACATTCAGATCTGTCTGCTGAAGATCTGAATTCATCTCAAGTTTGCTGCATTGTATTTATTTTGAACAGAAGTCGTTCATCAATTTCTTAGTGTTTTTACATCATATGAATCTAGTATATATAAACTAATTTGCACTTTTATTGATTATCCTGGTCTAGAATCTAAAGCTAATTGTAATATTACATCCGACTCGATCCGAAATGATTATCCTATTTAGAATGTTTGTTTGAGGGTGGACATCATTTTGCAAGTTTTTGGCTCCTAACACAACCTTTTATATTGAAATCTCAAACAGCAAGTCATCCCATATGATGAATCATTAACAATGGAATCATATTCATATTTCATAGACAACTCAGATTATGAATCCATATCCCTTCCTTTCTATTTCTCCAATTCCATTCAAATAGATCGCAAGGAAGTATCCTTACACCAACAAAAAAAATCCTAATAACTACTCATCAACTAGAAATGGTAAAATCCTAATAAATACTTATCTGGTAGAATCTCTTCCGATAGACTTCATGAATCAGTTAGAAATGGTGCCATCACAAATGTCTTTGTTGCCCCACATATTGAACCCTACATATCTCTGCAGATGTTGCTCTAAATCTCTGCAATACAACGATAATACTAATATAAAAATAACTTAAATAGACAAATGGTTTCATGCACTCAATATAGACTTAATGCACCGAACCTAGATGTACATGCATCTACTGATTACTCTCTTAGAAGCTATGGTTCCATCTTCTAGTTCTAGGTTTAATGCAAAAGAACCTCGAAATGCAATTTTCCCATTACTTGTATTTCCACTTCTCGAATCTGCTACTCTTAGGGAGCTAGCAGCTCGTCAACCTACTTTGAGAGAGTTAGCATCGTCGCACCAGGAGGCACCTGCTCAACCTCAACTTACTTTTAGAGAAGAAGCTCTTCGAGAATTGCAAAGTGAAAAGGGCCAACAACTTATTGAAGAAGTCAACCAATATAGGTTGAGTGTAGGATTGCCGGAACTTGATCCTATAGGAAATTTGCTTAAATTGAATAAGAATAAGGAGTTTTCTGAAGACGATACACTGGTCAAACTTGTCCAGTCACCATCTCAAACTGAGCTTGAATGTGAAGATTTACAAGAGATTGAAGAGATTACAAGTTCAGATATTCTAAGTTCTCGTGATTCTTCTGGAGTATACATTGTAGTCAAGCAAGATTCACTTATTTTGAGAGTGGATGGCAAAGATGTGGATCAAGTTGATTTTGATGAGCATAATATTCCTATAGTTTTGAAAGAAGGTTTTCGTGTTGAAACGTGTGGTGAGCTTGTTCCTGGTTTAGGTGATCTTGAGGATGATTCGAAAGATGGTTCAATGAAAGACCAAGAAGAAGATCAGTGGTACAAGATTGAATTTGAGAAAGAGGATATAGTGGTCCTGGAATACAAGTTTATATTTATTCATGGCAAGGAGAAGCATTATCAGCGGTTCATCAGTTTTGTTGAACTTGGTTTCTTATGGTACCGAGATGGGTATTCTGACTGATCAGCCATGGAGTCCGGCTAAAGACTTTAAACCAACTCTTATTGGGAGGCAACCCAACATTTTATTTTATTTTATTTACTTTTCTTAATTTTGCAAACAAGTTGATGGTTTAAGTTTTTTGTTCCTGATTATTTGAAAATCTTTGATTTCTGAATTGTCATGGTTTTTATTAATCATCTGTCTGATAGAATTTAAGTTTGTTTTTTTTTTGTTTGGCAGTTACTCTGAAGTAAATGATGCTTGGATGGTCGTGCAATAATTTCTTTATTATTCTTTTTCAACAATTTCAGTTCTCCGCTTCACATTTCCAAGGTTGTGTCATTTCTTTTTATTTTTTTATTTATGTCTTTTCTTTTCTTTTCATTTGGTTGCTTTGTCTTTTGTGTTTTATACATTGAGGGCAATGTATACTTTAAGTGTGGGGGAGGAATTTGTGTGTTTTGTGTCTATTTTTTTTAAAAAAATCAAAAATCAAAAATCAAAAAAATTTAAAAATTTAAAAATCGAAAAAAGGTCTATGATGAGTATGGTTTAATTATCTATAGCATGAAAGAATTTGACTATATTGAATTGTTCTGCTTAACTTGTGTATTTCTATATGTTACTTTGAATACCCACCTTTCTATGCAATTAGTCGTGACTGGGGGTAAGCGTAAAGTGAGATATGGTTGCATGAGTTTGATGTAGATATGTCGTGAATGTTGTGTTTGATTCACTCATACGTATATGATATGTATGTGGAATCCATCAAGTTGTGAAGGAAAAGTAAGGCATTAACTCAATATCAATCTTAAAAAAACTTCTTGCTTTGGCACTTTGTGTTAAGTAAGTTTTGGAGAGGGGTGTTGGCTGATGCTTCCGAGGTTAGGTTAAATTTAATGAGGGAGAAAAGGAAGAGCAATCAATGTTAATGCTAGTCCTATTGAGAGGTGAGCAATTGGCAACCATGAGAGGAGAGTCCTCAGGCCCGGTGAGGAAAAATAAATATGTAGACTGACCTAAGTTACTGAGCCACTATGTAAACGAGTGGAAAAATGCTCTGGGTAGGGGCTTGAGTGGGAAAGAGTCCTAAAGAAAAGCCGCATGGACCAAAGAATGGGTTACGAGGGGAAATAGGTCATCTGTGAGATAAGTCCTTCTACTTCATAATATGTTTGGAGGTCCATTGCATTGAAATATGGTGTGAAATGTGAGTCTGTTATTAAAGTATTAATATATGGCATATTTGCAGTAAAACTTATGTTTCTTTGTTGAATTTAAAGTGAAGTCCCTAAGAAGCGAATCGCACACACACACACAAGCGTGGGGGCTAAAAGTGCATATGGTTTATATATTGTTAAGTAGTCCAGACTAGAGGTAGTCGAAATCTTTGTGTTATATGATGTTGAATCTCCGAGGCCGCCAAATTAAATAAATTCAATGTTTTTGTGTGTTTTGATTCATGGGAATGCTTGAGGACAAGCAATATTTCAAGTTTGGGGGTATTTGATGTGCATGTAATTTATCTATTTTTAATATCTCTTTACAAGAGATTTTGCAAATATTTTGGATATATTTATGCTATTTTATATAATTTTATCTTTGTTTGCAGGCATTGTATTCAAATGAAGAATTGTTGAAGTTTTTAGCTAAAATAAAGATAAAAGCAATTTAAAGTGGAGGAATTGAAGATTAGATAAATTGACAATGAAGAAATTGAAGAGTTTAAAGACTTGGAGGGCTGAATTACAATTTTTGATTTGAGAATTGGGTTTGGCCCAGAGCATTTGATGGTTTGGTTTTGGACTTCAAATACTTGAACATGGGTTGCCACTTTGGATTAAAATAAATGGAAAAAATTCTGGACCATTTTACTTTTGCTGGAAAATTTCGAAAGGTTGGTGCTGCTGCCTGTTCTTGCCGAAAACGAAACCACGAAGAAATCCCAGCAGAGGCGATGCAGCAAAGCTTGATTTTCGGCATAAATTTAATAAAACTTGGAGTAGGGAACAAGTTTTCTTAACCTCCAAGAAAATTAGTTTCTGAAAAGACTATATAAAGGTGTCCTTCGCACCACATCACGGAACCCTCCATGCACCACCAAAACCTCACCCCACGCCACAAACCCCTAGCCTTACACCCTAAAAACCCCACGCTCCATCTCCTCTTCTCCACCTCCACGTCACAAACCAGCCCCCCTAACCTCACGAAATACACCACCATCATCACCTTATTCCACCAATATCCACGCCTCACACACCATCACCAACCACACAACCCCACGCTTCGCTACCATCATCATCAGAAGGGAAAGCACGGACCGAAGCACGCAATCGGAGGAGTTTCAAACTTTTGGATTTTGGCCGACTTCTCCCGGGTTTCATTGTTTTATTTATTTTTAAGATGATGTGTAGCTAAACTATTTAATCTAGGGTCTTGGATGTAGCCGTCGTACTATTTAATTTAATTAATTTAGGATTGTGATTTTTTTATTAGTTGATATTTAATATTCTTGTTTTTATTCCATGTGAGTATTTGATCACCACTTGCATAGGAATATTAGACTTAGATAGTGGGTCACGGCAATAGGAACACCGTCTTTGCAGCTATAGATTCTAGGGTTCTTAATGTATTCTAATAAAATCCTACAGTCACGACAGTAGTCATAGGGTTAGTTTGAGTAAGAGAATTATATCACGACAGTGAATAGTTTTTAAACAAGTGAATCGTTGTGAGATTAAGGAAATTCCAAAGTCATATATCTATAGATTGAATTAGGTTGAATAGTTGGTAAGTGAACCCTTTGCCCTAGGTTTTCTGCTATTTAATTAATTAGATTTTAATTATTATTTTTAGGTTTAGTTTAATTTGAAATCATTATTATTAGTTGTCTAAATAATAATAAGAAAGAGTTTTAACCGATACTTGGTAACCTTCTCTGTGGGATCGACCCTATTTTCCGCTATACTAGTGTTAAGTAGGTAATTTTATTATATTTGTGTGTTGTGTGTCTATTTTTTTAAAAAAAAAAATCAAAAATCAAAAATCAAAAAAATTGAAAATTTTAAAAATCTAAAAAAGGTCTATGATGAGTATGGTTTAATTATCTATAGCATGAAAGTATTTGACTATTTTGAATTGTACTGCTTAACTTGTGTATTTCTATATATTACTTTGAATACCCGCCTTTCTATGCACTTAGTTGTGATTGTGGGATAAGAATAAAGTGAGATATAGTTGCATGAGCTATGTCATGAAAGTTGTGTTTGATTCACTCATGCTTAACACAACTTTTTATTTTGAAAACTCAAACATTGTCATCCCATATGATGAATCATTGACAATGGAATCATATTCATATTTCATAGACAACTCAAATTATGAATCCGTATCCCTTCCTTTCTATTTCTCCAATTCCATTCAAATAGATCACAAGGAAGTAGTCTTACACCAACAAAAAAAAAAAAAATCCTAATAACCACTTATCAGCTAAAAATGGTAAAATTCTAATAACTACTTTTCTGGTAAAATCTCTTCCGGTAGACTTCATGAATCAGTTAGAAATGGTCTCACAAATGTCTTTGTTGCCCCATATATTGAACCCTACATATCTCTGCAGATATTGCTCTAAATCTCTGCAATACAACCAAAATACTACTATAAAAATAACTTAAATAGACAAATAGTTTTATGCACTCAATATAAACTTAATGCACCGAACCTAGATGTACATGCATCTACTGATTACTCTCTTAGAAGCTATGGTTCCATCTTCTAGTTCTAGGTTTAATGCAAATGAACCTCGAGATTTCTTTTATCTGCGATTCTCGAATTTGCTAAACTGCATACGTAACATAATCAGAACAGCTACGGACATCAATGATTTCAAGAGTTGGATTATATTGCAAGCAATCAATAGGGATCTCTTCCAAATTAGGACAATTGGAGAATACTAACTTTTGGAATTGGTAATACAATTTACACAACACATGAGGAAGAAAATTTGTATCACGGATTTCAAATGAGCAAGATAGTTTGTTTCCGGGTGAGTTCAACGATTTGAAAGGACATTTCAAATTTCAAAAGTAGAATAGGTTACAATAAAAGATTCCACACATGTGACAAATATGCCGAAGAAACAGGGACATTCATAATAATAGAGAGTGTTGGAAAACTAATAGTTGTTGAAAGTTTTGTTGAGCATGCAAAAAAAACTATGGACCGTTCATTCAGCAGGAAACAAGAATTCAATGAGCAGGGCAACAAGTAATGTATTTGGTGTTTTCTCTTCTAAATATTCTTACAGTTAGTACATCAATTTTTGTAGTGACATTTGATGCTTTCTTTGACCGCATGTGGAAAATCTGAACTTCTAGTCTGAATTAAATTGGTAAAAAAACTAAGCTGCACAATTGGCCCTAGATCACTGAACATCTCGCCCTCCTTCAGTGAGTTCACTCAATCTAATAAACTGTTCATTTTTAGCTTTCAACAAATTATATCAATTCAAAGACTCATGGGTATAATAACTATCATGGCTTAGCTTGGAAACTTTTTCAAAGCAAGAGTCATTTTGTGGAAGTTCATAATTTTGTTAGCTCAAGTGAAATGGCATTGGTAGATGGAGATGTTGATGAAGAGGCAAAAGATAGAGGTGATCGGATTAACAAGAAGAAGCCATCAGCTCATTGCAGTTGGCTACATCTGGATTTGGTAATACAACTTACACAACATATGCCTAAGAAGAAGAAGTTCATGTGTATTCGGGATGATTCCATCCAAGTGATTGGATATGTCCGAATCCCGATAAGGAAAGATGACAAATATGCCCAACTAGCTTGCTTGAACAAGAGCCCAGATAAGTGCCACATATACAAGAACGACAACATAGAGACTCCGTGACTTTACAGTTTGTTATTAATTTCATGATAATAGAGAACATGTGTTCATTAATCGAGAAAAAACAATTCTTACATAATAAGTAATAGAAATTTTTTAGAGCGAGAACAACGACAAAGACTTTTGATTTTCAAATGTTCCTTTAGCAGCCAACAAGAAAGAAATTTATTCCTTTTTTTTGGCTAATATATTCTTGAAATAAGTCATTATATCATTTGGTAGTATCATTCGGTTATTAATTTCTTTGACACTATGACAAAATCATCAATCAGTCTAGCTTAGCGTGATGAAAGAAATGTCATCATAAAAAAATCAACTCTCCAAACTTATGAAACTTTTTTGTTGACAACAATGGAATGCGGTTTGGATGTTTTCTCCATGGCCAAAATGCTCACCGGAACATGCAAGAAGTGAGGCACATACATACGGTTTAATTTTGTATTGTAGATCTTAATATCTAGAGTTAGTAATTTTTTCTTTCTTTTTATATACATAAAAAAATTTCATTTTTACTTCCTAAATAGTTTTAGCTAGCTAGAAAACATAATTATAAACAAATTCAACACGGTATGGAAAACATTCATTTTAATGTCACATGAAAAAGCTTCTGTAAGTCATGGTTTTGGAGTATGATCACAAATATCATACATGTAATAGATTTCATTTTAACTTATTAAATTATATGCACATTTTCTCAAATTAAAGTTGAGCAAGTAAAGATGAACCTTTCTATGAGAAATTTTCCTCGATTGTCATGATAGAAAAATACACAATATTCATTAAAAGAAATATTAGGTCACTCTACGGCTTTTATAAAGTTCACCCAATATTGACAATTGAAATTATTAATTTTTTTGTGTGGAAAACATTAAAAAAATTGAAAAAATATTTTGTACTTTATTCGGCGTTACTGTTTTATAGTTTAACAGATCGCATTGATTTCAAATCCTAAGGCCCATTTGGATTGAAGATCAAGAAGTAGTCAAATTATTAGGCCTATTGTTATTGTCATGACCTGGGGGTCTATTTGTAGATACTGATTGTATAGGGACTTTGGCGTAAATGTAATAAGTGAGTCAGACTATATAGTTCAGGATAAAAGTTGTAAACAGCATCATTGATTAGAAAATAAGAAATTTTCAGATTGGATTTTATCCTCCTTCTTCGTTCTCTGTTTTCCCCTCTTTTTCAAGAACCCTAACTTCTCCCTGCTCTTGACTTCAATCCCTGATTTCTCCCCCTAAATCTTTCTAATTTCACGATTTCCACCCTATATCGTGACAATTGGTATCAAGACCAGTCATTTCCTTCGATTATATCTATTCTTCTACTTCTCTTCCGCTCTAAATTCTGAATTCTGTGCGAAGTTCTTCATTCTCCGATTCGCACCAAAATTGAAATCTTTCGGTTGTGATTTTCAGAAATGACGAGGTCTAAGAGTTCCTATGGTGAATTAGCTAAGGAATTATCACTACCCGTTGATGAATTGATCGTCCGATTGGAAACCCTAGAAGAGCGATTCCGGGATCTCGATGCCAAGATCGAATCAAAGGCTACGGAGTATGACGCCAAGGTGGCGGAGTTTCGCAGCGGTTTCACGGGTAATTCGCGGCGTTTACGGAAAGGTTAGTAGGTCTCTTTGGAGATTTCGAAGCAAGATCTGACAAAAAACGCGAAGAAAATGAGACAAGGTTTCGACATGATCTGGAGAAGAAATTGCTGGAGTTGATTAAGATTTCGAAAAATCGCAATCAAGAGAAGGCTCCAATTATTGAATCGATTCCACCGGCAACCAGTGGACAAGAGGCCGCCGCTTATTCCGATCAATCCGGATCCGTCAAAGGCTCCACTCAAATCATCGTCAGAGAAAGGAGTTTTAACTCCAGTGGTCAATTCAATTCCGGTGAGGAGAGATTTTGTCCGACAACAGCCATTCATGTCAACACTGTGCGTGAGGGGAGAGAAACAGGGCCACGTGCCAATGAGTTGTTACTTGGAGGTCAATCTTGTTGCAATACATAGGGAGACCACCCAAATTACCAGTGGTATCAACAACCTCGCTTAGATTTGCCAACCTTTGAAGGCAACAACCCCGAGGAGTGGCTGAGGAAATGCCGGAAGTATTTCTTGCTTCATCGAATTTCAGAAGCCGAAAAAGTGGAAGCCGTGGAACTCTTCCTTGACGGCAAGGCCGACACTTGGTTTCAAGGAATCAAGTCCATTCACGGTAACCTTAGTTGGAATGAATTTTCTGAATTCTTGATTCAACGATTTGGTAATCATGGGGGGCAAGATTGTTGATTACCAGGAGAAATTTGAGGAACTTCATTCGAGGTTATTGAATTTAGGATATCAGTTTGATGAATCATATTATATATCCTGTTTTGTTAGTGGCCTCAAAGAAGAAATCAAACCAATTGTGAGAATGTGGCAACCAAAGACTTTGGCAGCTGTTTTTAATATTGCTTTGTATCAAGAGCAAAATTTACCTGTTTTGTCTAAGATCAATTGGAAGGATTTAGGGCAGAACTGTTTTGATTTTGTGGCTAGTAGTGTTCCTGAGAGTACTTTACATCCTGCCAGTAGTGGTGATAAGGGAAATAGAGGATCAGGAATGCAGGTTGAGGGAAGTGTAAGTTCTGTTCAAGGAAATGGAACTTGTACTAGTAATGTGAATCACCAAGTTGGCGTCAGTAATCAATCAAACAAGGAAAATAACAATCCAAATGGTGCTGTGAATGGCATTATCAAGTTTAATGGTCATAAGAATCCTAGAAATCGATATATGAAGAAGTTGGTTCCGCAGAAATTCAATATAGGACCAACCATGGATTGTGTTACAGATGTGGAGAACTCTACAAACCAAGTCATAATCAGAACTGCAAGATGAGGGAGTTCAACATTATTGTTGTTTGGATGCTGACAAGGAGGAAGAGTCGTGTAGCATCTTGTGGACGATTAATGTTGAAGCAGTCGATGTCAATGATCTGACTCTGGACAATTACAGGAAGTGCTGAGAGTTGCTGCTCCTTTGGATTCTATTTTGTGATGTTAGTCCACAGCTTGTCTGTTTTAGCTTCCATTATGGTATAGTCCTACTGTATTGGTGGTATAGTTTATTACTTGTGTCGATTTATTTGCACTAATTCCTAGTTGCTGATTCATTTAAGTGAATGTAATAATTGTCGTTTAAGCATTTCTAAGAGTTGTAGTTGGTAGTAACAGTCTTAAGGACAAGACTGTTGTAAGGGTGAGGGAGTTGTCATGACCTCGGGGTCTATTTGTAGATACTGATTGTATAGAGACTTTGGCGTAAATATAATAGGTGACTCTGGACTATATAGTTGGGGGTAAAAGTTGTAAACATCATCATTGATCAGAAAATAAGAAATTTCCAGATTGGATTTTATCCTCCTTCTTCGTTCTCTATTTTCCCCTCTTTTTTAAGAACCCTAACTTCTCCCTGTTCTTGATTTCAATCCCTAATTTCTCCCCCTAATTCTTTCTAATTTCACGATTTCCACCCTAGATTGTGACAGTTATCCTTCTTTCCCTAAGGCAGTTAACTCTTTAAATAATGAACAAATTCCCAAGTGGCAGCCACCGCCTCAGAACACTTCGTACATTTTCACTCTTTCAGCTGAATTCGAGAGAAAACATATCGTCTTCCTTACTTCCAGGGTTTAGCAGAGTGTTCTTTTGACTTCTGAGTTGTAGATACGTTGAAGTATTTGTAAATCTTGATCTGAAATATGGTCATAAGGGTTCTTGATCTGAGACTTTGAACTCGAGAGGAGAAACGGGGATTTGTAACCAAAATTGCAGAATTATTTAATTTTCTTAGTCAATTCGGGGAGGCCATATGAGCTGGTCCACATTGGAGATGTGTTAACTTCCCGAATCAGTCAACAAGTTCAACTATGTTTGGGTAAGATCTCAAAATTAGCAGATAAAAATTAACCCTTGTTGCACAATCCCCTGTTTTTTGCTTATTTATTTTGTGCCGCCATCACCCAAGATATTACGAAACTTACAAATTCCGATGGCTTGGAAGATTTTCGGAGCAGGAGCTAGCCATTGTATTGAGTTTCATAATTTTGTTTCGTGGGTAGAATGGCTTTGGTTGGTGGAGAAAATTGTGATGAAGATGCAGGGCGGATAGTTTACTGGTTTATGAGGATGAAGCAATTTCCTTGCAATCGCTTGATCTGGATTCGTTAATACAGCTTACGAAACATGTCAAGATGATGAACTTTTCTCCGAGCTCTCTGTCGTAGACATTTTTAATTTGGGCACCCAAGGAAGAGAAAGATTTATGCATTATAAAATGATGATTCACTAGTAAACATCGATACCTACAATATTAATGTAGAAAGATTTATGTATTGTAAAATGATGATTAGTGGTAAACATCGTTTCCTACATTAGGAATAATATTGAGTATATACTTAGCTCTCTGCATTAACCGTCTTGTATACAATCATGAGGTTATTTCTTCTCATTTTGTGCCGCCGTTAGCCGAAGATTCATTGATCCAATCATCCAGGTAGGTGTTTGGATTAAGATGAGGAATTCAGTTCATTGCAATTAGATCGATCTGGAATTGGTAATTCAACTTACACAAAGATATCTTTTACTCTAAGAGAGGCTATGGTTCCATCTTCTAGTTCTAGGTTTAATGCAAAAGAACCTCGAAATCCGATTTTCCCATTTCTTGTATCTGCGTTTCTCGAATTTGTTCAACTGCATTCGTAACATAATCAGAACAACTACGGACATCAATGATTTCAAGAGTTGGATTATATTGCAAACAGTCAATAGGGATCTCTTCCAAATTCGGACAATACTAACTTCTGGAGGCAGGGGAACTCGTAATCATCCGAAACTATCCACTTGACAATGTCCAAATATTGCAACTCAAGAAACCTCAGTTTCGGGAATTGCCCTTCTTCCACATTCCATGTTTCCTCAATGAATGAATCATCGATCAATTTGAGTACCTGAAGATGAGGTAGTTGTGCAACGGTTGCTATTTTCTCCCAGGGCAACAACTCCAAAGTCAACTTTTTGAGATTCTCTGGAAAAACAAAATCGACATAATTGGCGGAATCGCACCAAATTGACACACGAAGTGATTCCAGTCGACTCATAAATGAATATGTCATCCGATTCCAACCAGTGTTGAGGTCTCCTTCATATGCATCATGCGCGCACCTTAGCCGACGGATGTTTGGAAACTTCTGCAATACCTTTTTCATGGTGCTCCAATCTTTACTGGATATGGTTGATAGACTGACTAGCTCCAACAGATCAGAGGAGCTGTCGAGATTATTAACCGGTAACTCAATGCCATCTCCATTTGTAGTATATAGATGTCTTAGTTTTTGTAGATTCCAAAATGTTTCTGGCAGTGAAACACAGTCTGCCCCAACAACATGAACTATGAAAATTTCCAAGTTGGAAAGATTACCTATTGATGCACTGACACTGCCACTAGCTTGGATTGCCAAAAATCTCAACTGCACCAGAAGTCCTATTTCACTCGGAAAACCAAAGCTGATCTTGACATCTTCTATATCCAACACCTTAAGAAGCTTAAAGATGCGAAAAATGAATGACATGTCAAGTATTCCATAACACCGCGGGTTTAAATGATCATAGAAAACCAGTGAGCGCAAACGAGGACAAAACAGTTTCGACTCCTTAAATTGTTCCTGACTAGAGTTTATGCACAATCTTTGCAGGTTACCGGGTCTATGCAAAGACAAAAGCTCATTTTCGCCTTTTAACAATTGGAAAAATACTTCCTCTTTAGCTTTCCTTCGACAAAAGTCATGAAGCAAATCATGGATGCGGCAGGCTTTCACATCTCCTCTGGAGCTTTTCTTGGCCTCCATGACTAAACTTCTGCCAATCAAATTGTTTAAGTAATCTGTTGCAACCTCTTCTAAGCTCTTCGACTTAGTTTTCTGGATAAACCCTTCACCAATCCAATACCAAATCAACCTCTTGACGGAAACTTCATGGTCTTCGGGAAATATCCCCAAAAACAGGAGACACGACTTCAAATGATATGGTAAATACCTGTAGCTCAGCTCTATCACATTGTTGCATTGCTCTGAACCAGAGATGATACCAGACCTTAAACTTTCAAGAACTTCATTCCAAGCCTCTTGCTTTGTAGTTGATAGAATTCCAGCCACAATAACGATTGTGAGAGGCAGCCCTTTACAGCATTTTGCAATTTCCGACACTATTTCATATAATGATGCAGTACAATCTTTCCAAGGAAGCAACTTTCTCCTTAGTAACTCCAAACTCTCATTGCCTGAGAGTAGACGAAGAGAAAGAGGATTCTCATCGCGTAGAGTTATAGGAACAACATCACGTTGTCGGCTTGTCAGGAGAATTCTACTTTCAGTCAAATCATCGGGAAATGACTCTTTAATACAATCAAATGCTTGAGTTTCCCATACATCATCCAAAAATATGAGATATCTACGTCGTTTCAGAGAACGCCAAAGCTCTTGGGCCAAATCAGGTTCAGCCTTCTGGAGATATCCATCGGAAAGATTTCCCAGAGTCTGAGTCAGAAGATCAAGTAAGACTTTCTTCACATTGAGTATTTGTGAAACAGAACACCATGCACGGACATTAAAATGGTACGTAACTGAAACATTATTGAAAACTTTGCTTGCCAAAGTTGTCTTTCCCGAGCCAGGCATACCAACTATGGCAACAACTTGCAACTTCTTTGATCCTCTAGTAAGTCGATCGATAATTGTTGTAATCTCAGTTTCAAAACCAACAACTTCATCTGTCGTTGCGGTACTATTTTCTAATGGCAAGGTGATTCTCTGGTGTTGAATCGATTGGTTGCTGAAACTGGAAATATTCGCGGCATCAGTCTCAATAATCTTGATGTCTTCTGAGACAGATTCAAATGATGCTGTGAAAGAATCTTTAACATTTCCAAGCACCAATTGGTCAATGAGAAACTCCATCTTATATGCCACTCCTAGAGCAAGATTATAAAGAGCTTGGAGCTCCTCATGTTGATTCTGTAACCCCACCAGTTTTTCCAAAACTGATCTCAAGAAGAGAAGATGTTGCTCCATCCTACCTATGGGACTTTCGGTATCCGAATCAACCTTGCGACTTTTCACTTCCAGCAAATCGTCCAAAAGAGAATCCAAAAAGCCTAGGACATTAGTCCTTGGAAAGCTGAATTCTGATGTTTGCAATACTTGCTCTTCAACCTCTGCAAGGATCACCTGAATGTTTTTCAGCAGATCCAGAACCAAAAGATCAGTTTCAACATCATTTTGATAAAGCGAAAAGATCAAGATTCCAGTATCACATATCACAACCCCGACAAGATCCCTGATTGTCGTTTCAAGAAATTTGTTTGGATTCTCCTTCAGAGTAGATCTCAAGAACCTTAGTCCTTCATACAGTGCTTGCAAATGCTCCTTCGCAGAATCCGAAGGACAGGTATCCAGTTGTAGTATATCCCAAAGATTGGATAGAAAGTAGACAACGAACTCCTCAATGATAATTATGGGATCACCAGGGGTGTTGAGGGTGGGAAAATGCAACTCTCTGATTGAATGCCTTTTACTTGCCAGCACCCGAGTGTAGGTCACATACACATGAGAATCGACATGTGTTATTTTGTGCAACAAAGCAGAAATCATAAGTTTAGTTCTTTCATGATAAGAATCATCAGAGATATCGGAAAACAGACGCATCGTTACATGGGCAGCATCTATAGCCTGAGCTTCAATGTGAGTCAGAAAAGCTGGGAGTTCTTGCAGCTCATCAGTACCTGGAATAGTGGCCAAACGAATGAAGTTTCTCAAGAACCTGACAGAACCCTTCAAGGCTTCGACTGGTTCTTCAAGAAAACCAGAAAAACATCTAGGGAAGCCATAGACAACAGCTAGATGCGCCAGAACAGAATCTATAATATCCATAACTTCGTTGGCCACTGGAGAACCTGATTGCCACAAGCAGTCTGACAAAGTAACGTACCATTTTTCGATTTCTGCTTCAAAAGATCTGATCTCCACTACGTATTCCTTAGTGTTTTTCAGACTACAAGATTGGATATCATTCTGGAATCTGCAAAGAAAATCTTCAATCCTAACGAAAAGAGAGCCAGGATTCCCGTCCGTATAGCGATTGTCCAACCTTCTTGCACAAATGATAAACGTTTTCAGAGGTCTGAGCGGACGTATCAGCCATAAATTGGACGATGGTTTTTTCTCAAGATAATCCAAAACAGAATGAATAGAAGTAAGAACGGAGTTGAGGGAAACCATCTTGAGAGAGAATTATCAGCCTGATGATCTTAAGCTGCAGACCCACAAGATGATCAAGAACTTGATCAGATTCAAATTGACAAAATTCCCGAGTTTTTACCATACATGAAAAACTAACTTCGATAATCAATCAGCATAAGACCTAATACATATAACTGGAAACTAAATTTCAACTAAAGCTTCCAAAGGAAAGCACATCCAAATATTCATTTGAGGTGAACCCAGGTTTTAATTACATAGTTTGATTTAAAAGCTTCAAAGCACAAATCAAACACATAAAATTTTTAATTTTCACTGCATAGAATACATCTTCAACTCGAGCGCAAGTATGATAATAGCTAACTTACCTTAGCTTCGGTTCACCTCTGCTTCATTCAATTCAGGTTGTTACTTTGTGGATACCGGATCTCTTAACCTATTGTGCCAAATTGGTCTTAGAGATTGGAAGTGAATGATGGATTTTAGAAATCAGTTTGTGTAAGAGAAGGTTGGATGGATTCTGAATAGTATGAGGTATTTTTTGGCGGAGCAGATGAGAAAATATCTGTGTGGTGGGGTGAGAAGTGATCAAATGAGGATTCTGAATCAGTTTCATAATGATACTCTTCTCGAAAATTAATTTTAACTCGAAACGGAACGAAACTGACATGTCTAGCCAGCTTGTCCAGACCACGTCACCCTTCCCATTTTTTATTTAATAAATTAAAAAAAAAATGGAACCACTTATATGTACTATATTAAAATGTGGGTAGTTCATTCATCACTAAATAAATCCCTTGTTCACACTTCACACTTGAACCACTTATATGGATATTAAAAAATTAATAATTTACGGAGGGAAAATTTGCAAAGAATTTTAACTAAAAAATGAATTTTAACCGTCTATATTTACATCCTATTTTTTTGGAGTTTATAAATCTAAGAGTTGGGAGATACTACCTCCGGCTCTTATTATAAGTCATTTTGATTTGTTATAAATTTTATTTAATATGTTCTTCCAAAAAAAATAAAACTTTAAAAATATTTTGTAATGATTCGGAGAATTCAATAAATGTGAAACTATATTTTTAAAGTTTTTTTTTAAAAAAATAAGATACTAAATGAAATTTAGGACAAATTAAAATGTTTAATGATAAGGACCGGGAGGAGTAGATAAGATTCAGTCACATCATCCATGTTAAAATTCTCCATAAATTTTTCATGCTACCAAATGAGTTGAACTTGAGTGGTATATATGTTAATACTAAACACCTCACTGATACATACTCCCTCTGTCCTAAAATTATTGTTCAATTTGATATTTCACTTTTAATACAATTTGAACTAGAAATGATAACTCAAACTGGATAATAATTTTGGGACGAAAGGATTATATTATTACACTTTATGTTCTTTTAAGAAATATTGTCATTCTTTTGAATATGTACAAATCTGTCAATTATTTGATAATAATTCTTTTTAACTATTCATTAGCAAATTCAACGTTATCGTTGATTCCACCCACCCCCCGTGTGATGACTGATGGCTATATTTGCAAAAAAGATACGTTGGTTATTACATTTTGGATTACTTACTTCTTTTCTCGAAAGGAAAACTGTATTAGGCAGCTACTTTTATTCATATATATATATATATATATATATATATATATCTTACTATATTAGAAACAAAAACCACACTTAAGATAAAGTATCACCATTTGCCAGGTGGCATTTCCACATCATATTTTTAAAATAAATTTTTATTTCCATATCTCTTAAATTTAAAAGGCAAATGTAATCTAAATTCACTTCTACCTCCTATTTCCGTCAAAACAAAAAAAAAAAAAAACCACGGGTTCATAAAAACCCCAAATCCTCATCCTCATCTCCACGACAATCGAGTCCTTAATTAATCCCTTCTCTACAATTAAAAAAAAAAAAAACAAATTCCTCATCAATCATCAATTGAGAATATGTGGTGAAATATACTCCTTTCCTATTAGCATGTTCAATCTTTTCATTAGTGATGATCAACTACATCTTAATCGGATAAAATTGCAACTTCAAAAAATATTCTCTTTACCTCTCTATATAAACACAAAGGGAAAAAAATCTCATTGATCTTGCTTCGACCGTTGTGGTGGTGCCATTATAGGTATTAAAATTTAAATGATTTTATTTCCACAGATCATTGGTTTAGCTTTTATTATTTTTTATTTTTCCCGTTCAAGAATAGTGTTATTACTATTATTTTTATGCGTGCATCCGTTACAGCTACCATAGCCGTTGTCAGTTAGTATGATATGATTTCTTATTTGGTTAGTTAGCCTAGAATTTTTGTATGATTTTGGATTGAATTGATTGATTGGATTTTTGTTACAAAGTGTGTTTTTTGAATTTGTTTTTTATGATTCATTCAATTATAGTGTTTTTCTTTTTTTAATTATGCAGTCTCAGGTTTTTTTTTCGTATATGGCCAATTATGAAGTGTGTTTTTTCATTGTTTAATTGTTTTTTATTTTGTTTCATACTCCCAGTTGACCAATTATTATTATTATTATTATTATTATTATTATTATTATTTTATTTACAAATGAAGCATGTTTTTTTTTTTTTTTGTGTTCGGGGTTTCAAGAATATACTTTTTTAGATTTTGTTTTTTGGACTTTTTTTAGTTCCTCATCATATAAATAGTTCAGGTCGCTTCTTTTAACTAATTTATGGGGAATCCTTTTATGAATTTTAGATGGAGAGGGAAGGAATGATGTTTTACGTTTATTTGTGTTTTTGTACATCATTTTTACCTATAGAAAAAAAAATAAAAACTCTCAAATTTTAATGGGCTATCTTTTACTTCTTTTTTTTTATTTGCCATGGTGAGGTGAGTTCTTTTTTGCTATATCTTGAAACCTATGCAAATTTACAATTATTTTCATTCTCATATTTGTGATCAACCAGTTTCAACAATTAACTGCAAAATCATATTTTTGATATTTTACTACCTATAAACTTTTGGAAGAAATAGTTCCAACAATTAAGCGTATACCCTTTGGAGGAAGCTAACTACAAAGCTATTATAAATCTCCAAATCTAAGTATTTATTTGGCACAACCAATGGAGAACATCAATAAATTATCTTACTAATATTTAAACTTATTAGGATGATTTTAGAAATGTTTTATATTTTGTCTATCATTTACTTCAAGACATATATTTGATCAAGTTTATTTATATTTAAGAAGTAACACTTATAAAACATTTCTAAAATCTTCAAACATTTCTAAAACGTACCGGGCCAAATACAATTTATTTTTTTGCCAAATACAAACATCACACTTATAAAACATTTCTAAAATTCTTCAAATATTTCTAAAATATATCGGGCCAAATATAAAATATTTTTTTACCAGATACAAACATTTCTAAGATCTACAAATATATTGGGCCAGAGTCGCGCATTGTGCGACCAGACATCACTAGTATATATATATATATATATATATATATATATATATATATATAGTACAATAAAGGAGGTAAAGCCTGAAAACTAAAACAACATAGAATGTTAGTACGAAACACCAACTACATCATGGTGTAACCAGGGTTTCACAACATCCGGCTGGTCATCCAACTGTAATACTTCTCCAGGGCTAGTAGAAGCTAAAGCTGCTAGTGAATCCGCAGCAAAATTCGATTCCCAATAGATGTGTCTCAACTCAATCGACCATGATTCGCTAGCACTAAACCCGATGCAAGCCGAGAACATCCTCTTTCCCCTTCACCATCTTAACCATAGACTGACTATCTACCTCAGCAATAATCTGCTTCTTCCCACGATCCCAACCAAGAGTTAGACCCTGGAATAAAGCTCACAATTAGGCGCCATTGATAGAACAAAAACCAACATTCATTATAAACCCACCACACCATCGATCCAATTGATCTTCAGTAAACCCCCAGCACTCGCCATTCCAGAGAGTATATCAAAAGAGCCATCGGTGTTCAACTTCAAAAAACCATCTGCCGGTGGAATCCACCTCAACCAAACCATCTCCCTCGCTCTGCCAGAATAACCAAGTTTACGGTCGCATTGCATGGCCGAAGTAACGCCATCAACAAACGAAGTTACTTCAGAAAGTTGCTGGTCCAGGGGTTTGCACTTCCCTTTGAACACACGTGCATTGCGCCACAGCCATATCCGCCAAACAGAGATCCCAAACAAACATCTCCAGTCTTCCCTTCAGAAAGTTGCTGGTCCAGGAGTATATATTTTTTTGTTGTTTGAAGAGGAGAGAAGTTTACTTTTAAAATCAAAGTGTTACATTTCTTAAACATATTAATTAGACCATTGCGAGGTTTCCTAAAGCAGTGAAATTCCTCCGAGAAAGTCTCAAATATCAACAAAAGTTGTTTCCATATAAACTAGCATTGGTGCACCGCACGAGGTACGGTATTTGGTGAAAATATACCTGATCTATTGTAGAATTCAAATGCTCGTGACGTTTGAATTAATCATCTGTGGTCTAGTAACTAAGTTAAATATTTGGTACAATTTGCTTTTGTTCAGTTTGCTCTTAGAAGTTGCAATGTCTTTTGAGAATTTGACTCTCCATAACAGCACTAATGCCCCAAAGAACACCATAAGCTCTAAGAGGAAGCCAACCACTAGTATCACTGTGTTTGAATTTTTTTTCCCCCTAAGTTAAGGATTAAATTTAGTGAATTATTATCGTAAAAAACAAATTCTATTATGAATTTGTGATGACCGTTTATTTGAAGATAAAGATAAGCCAATACCATGAAAGCGCAGGTTGAGAAATGGATGAACAAATAAACCTTTTGCCAGAATTCCTTCGGCCACCCGTAAACCAAATTCGCTTCCTCTCTTTTTCGCTCATTCTAAACAGAAGGGGGGGAATAAGCTTCAATAAACAAAGAAGCTGTGGAAAAGATGGGTCACTGGCCATTGGATAAAAAGGTCACCACAAAGTAGCCAACTTGTAGAAGAAGGCATAAAGTGATCCATTACGTAATTGACACATGACCCATTACCACCTGCAACCTCTAGTTAACCGTGCCAAAAACGGGGATCCCCCTTTATATTAAGTAGATATGTATCAACTCAACAGTCCATTCTCTCTAAAATAAATAGTTACTACTTTCTCAAGACTATATTGTCATTTTAAGAATAATCCAGTTACATTGTCCTAATCCAAAGTTAAATTTTAATCTCCCCACCACTTTTAAGCAATATACGTGAAAGATTATGTACATTTGTTTTGTGATACAAGATAAAATCTAATTTAGTTGTTTAGATTGTATTGGATAGATAAGATTGTGTTTTAGTTAAGATTGTATAGCTATTACAATCCTACTGATCAATGTATCATGTATGTATAAATAGGCATACTCCTGATGTACTTCAAGAACATAAACGATTTATTATTCCATATTATCAAACCCATCTTATGTTGTATTCATCAATTTGTTCATGGTATTAGAGCATCTGATCCTGAACTAAACCTCTCCACATTTTTTCCGCTACATTTTTTTCCTCTTTTCATCAGAATAAATTATGGGAGATAATCACAGGGAAGAAACTTCCTTCAATCCTCATAAC